GCCAACCTCTTGCTAAAGTTTATTTTGAGGAAAAACAAAACTGATTCACGTGGTTGACAGACCCAGGACAGGAGCAGAACAGCTTGGCTACTTCCTTAACGTTTCCCTGGCCTGACCTTAGTGCTCAGACTGTGGTTCTCTGCAGCAGTGTCTACCCACCCCATCTGTTTTGCGAGGGTTAATATCAACATAGAGTTAACATAACCAGTGTGTTCTCTTTGCCAAGGGCTGCACCCAGTGACACGCCCACAGTGATTGCCACCTGGCCCACTCTGCTGGGCCCACCTGCAGACCATCCTCTGAGAGCTGACCTGACATGTGGCCAGCTGACCCGGACTCGGGGGGCCTCAGGATCAGCCTGTAGAGGGGATATCAGTAAAGCTTAATTTCTTCTTTTTTTAGATAAAAAATACATTTTATCCCTGTAGCCTCATGGGTTATGTTGCTTGTCTTGGAGACCATTGCTTTAGACAGTGAATGGAAAGTCAGGATAAAGTTCCTCATTCTTGTCATTGAGGGAGCAATGGTTTAGTGGGGACAGAGAATCCTTTGGTACAGTTTTTTCCAGAGGGGTAGAGATGTTATTTTTTACTTCCCAAGTTTTGAAGGGGGCATTCTAGTCAGGCTGTGAGGGCTTGGGGTGGCTCGGGACAGGTGGGAGGGGGCACACCAGCCAGACACACTTGGGCTAAGCGCGCACTCACACTGTAGGGACAGGAGAGGCACAAACACAGAGCAGGGCCTCTCTAAGCCCTTCCTTAAAGCCCGGGGATCTATTTTTTAATTTTTATTATTTATTTATTTTTGAGACAGTCGCATTCTGTTGCCTGGGCTAGAGTGCTGTGGCATCAACCTAGCTCACAGCAACCTCAAACTCCTGGGCTCAAGCGATCCTCCTGCCTCAGCCTCCCAAGTAGCTGGGACTACAGGCATGTGCCACCATGCCTGGCTAGTGTTTTCTATATATTTTTAGTTGTCCAGCTAATTTCTTTCTATATTTTAATAGAGATGGGATCTTGCTCTTGCTCAGGCTGGTCTCAAACTCCTGAACTCAGACGACCCTCCTGCCTCGGCCTCCCAGAGTGCTAGGATTACCCAGAGTGCTAGTGAGCCACTTCGCCTGGCCAAGCCTGGGGATTTAATCAAGCCTTTTGTGGCCTGTATTATCTATTGCTGCATACAAACCACTTCAAAACCTAATGGCTTAAAACAGTATTTATTGTCTCACGGTTTCTTTGGGTCAGAAATCTGGGTGTCACCAAGCTGGGTCCTCTGGCTCAGGGTCTCTCCTGAGGCTGTGGGATCTCAAGCCTCCACCGGGGTGGGTCTGATGCCAAGCTTACTTGGGGGTTGTTGGACTGAAGGCCTCAGTTCCTCAGGAGCTGTTACAGCAGCAATAGAAAAGGAACACAGCCTTTACATTTGGCTGTTCTCCTGCAGAGCAGGGCCATGGGCAGCCATCAGACCCAGCTGGAATGGCATGATCCTGAAGCCCCATTTCCACAAGGACTGGCAGCCGTGCATGCCACATGGTTAACCAGCTGGCCTGGAAGATCCACAGGCACAAGGCCCAATAAGCAAAAGCATGCCACATCACCCCTTGCTCTGTATCTGCACCCATCCAGCCCATAGCACGTTGCCCCACGATGAAGTGTCACACCAAAGTACAAACTGATGCTTCAGCTTGGAAGAGTTAAGGGTGGCTGGCATACTCAAGAAGGTGGCCAGGACCATTGGTATTTTTGTGGATCCAAGAAGGCAGAACAAGTCCACCAAGTCCCTGCAATGTGCAGCAGCCAAAGGAGTACTACCTTCAAGCTCATTCCCTTCCCCAGGAAGCCCTTAGCCCCCAAGAAGGGAGATAGTTCTGCTGAAGAACTCAAATTGGCCACCCAGCTGACAGGACCAGTCACACCCATATGGAACGTTTAGGAGAAACCAGAGTCATTGCTAAGGAGGAGAAGAACTCCAAGGCATTCACCAGTCTTTGTGTGGCTCTTTGGCATATGGGCAAAAAGAGTCAAGGAGGCTGCAGAACAGAATGTAAAAAAGAAAAAAATAAAGCCTTGTTGGGGACTTGTAATAAATCAGCAGAAAAAGAAAGAAAAGGAACACAGACTATATAGAAGAAAAATGGCAACAGATGAACTTTGATACATACAGGTGATTTGCTGCTTTAAAAAATAAGTATCTTAAAAATGAAATTTGATTTATAAAGGCATCTTACTTGACATCCTTGGGTATAAATGGGTAAAGTGGCAGCTTGGCATTTCTCTTTTTTTTTTTTATTTTTTTTTTCTTCTTCTTCCATAAAAGTGAGAAATGAGGCATTTCTCTTGAAGAGGATCGCAACTCAATCCCCTCTAATGGAGAAAGTCCAAGGTTCATTTCATTGTTACTAAAACTATTGGAGAAATGAGTTCCTTTCTTCTTTCTAAGACTCAAAGGGAGAGGAAAAGCAAGCAAGCCTTTCACAGTAGGGAATTTAAATCAACATGAGGTTTTGTGAACAATTTTTTCTCATTCTCTTTGTTTTCAACTTCCAGCCATGGCATAGCTTCTTGATTTGGGGTTAAATGTTGTATGTTAGGTCACTTAAGAGTCTGTCCCCACAGTTCATTAAAATGTATTTGGGAATTTGATTTGCATTTAGAAGCTGAGTGCTCAGTGCCAGGGCTTTGGCATCCCTTCACTCACCCTCTGGAATAGAAACATTCAAACAGATTGGTCATCTGATAACCAAAAAGGAGGGTCATCATGTAATGTGCAAAAGGCTATAAGGGATATTTGCTCTTGGAGTTCTTAGAGTACATCTGGAACACAAATATCCTTCATTATAACAGGCAAAAATAGTTTACTGATTTGGACCATAAACTTTTTATAGTAAAAAAACAATATGTGATGCAAAACAAAGCTAAGGACCCACATATGGTGTATTTGGGCCAATATTGTCAGTACAGCAAGCATTAAAGTCAAACTTTTTTTTTTTTCTAATTCAGTCAAAGATGAAGAGGGTGAATGAATTTGAGTTCACCTCAACCACTTTTCTACCAGGAAAGGAAGAGATAACAAAGGAATAAAAATCTCCTGAGTACATGCTGTGGGCCAGATAGTATCTTTTTTTTTTTTTTTTTTTTTTTTTTGAGACAGTCTCACTCTGTTGTCCCAGCTAGAGTGCCATGGCATCAGCCGGGCTCACAGCAACCTCAAACTTCTGGGCTCAAGAGATCCTTCTGCCTCAGCCTCCCAAGTAGTTGGGACTATAGGCATGTGACCATGCCTGGCTAATTTTTTCTATTTTTGGTAGAGACGGGGTCTTACGTTTGCTCAGGCTGGTCTTGAACTCCTGAGCTCAAATGATCCACCTACCTCAGCCTCCCAGAGTGCTAGGATTAACAGGCGTGAGCCACCGCACCCAGCCTCCAGGTAGTATCTTAAATGACTCACATTCAGATGAGGGGCATTGGTCTCAGATAGGTAAAGTGACTTGTCTGAATTCATAGAGCTCATAATCGGCACAGCTGAAGTTTGAACTCCAAATCGTCAGACTCCCAAGTTCTAATGATCCTTTTTATTTAAGCCGTGCTTTTCCTGTGGCCCTGGAAGCATGACCTTGCTGTTTGCTGGAAGCAAGGAAGCTGGTAATGGCAGCCATCTCCCCAGGAAGGGTGGAAAGCTCCTGTCCTTCTAGTTCATGGACTTTGTATCTTAGTGGTTTGTAGATGTCACTAGAAAGGGTAACTGGTGAATGGTAGCCAAAGGAAAGCCACCTATTGCATATCAACTGGAAAGCCAGCTTTCATCCAGAAAATAGTGGATGCTCTCCTCTAGTTTATACACCACTTAGAAGTTAGGAGGGCATGGGGCAGCTCAGCAACCATAAGCTAGACATGGACTTTACCCTCAGGAGAGAGGTTTCCTGTTACAGACAAAAGGGCACATGGTGTCCAATATTTTGGCACAGAAGGAAGGGTATCAGTCATATTCAATGCACTCAAATCCATAAATTCAGGTCTGTATCTCCTAAGTATCCTATTTTTTATACTGTGACTCCATGAAGTCTGCAGTGTAACAACATAGAACTTAAGCAGGTAGATCCATTTCAAAATGAAATCTCCAACGTGTGAGGACAGCAGGCTAAGTTTATAATTTAATCAAACCTAGGGGTTTTGAGAAAAACTATAACCCTAAGAATTTGGGGGCGGGAAAAGTCCAGAGAGACTTGGAGTCCACCCAGAATTGAAGGTAATATTAAGAGACAAAAGCCAAGCATCTAGGGCTGGCTAAGGATCAAGGCCATAGAAACACTCTTGATGCAGATTCCTTGGCCCTACCCGACTTAGTATAGGGCGCTGGGCTTCTTACGTGATTCTGATAGCACCAGTTAATCTACTGGTATTTGGGGACCAGTGGCTGCCGGTTAGTAACCAAGTTCCAGTTTGGAGAATAACAAAACAATGAGGACTTTAAGATACCATTGTGAGCCTCTTGGGGGAAGAGTACACGGACTACTTTGGGAAGGACCACTGGTTCAGCTAGTCAATACAGGAGGAGCAGGCAGAGTGGCAGGTGCAAGTAGGAAAACACCGTCTAGATCAGGCAAGGTGGGGAGGAGCATCAGACTTAGTGCTGGAGTTTCTCTGCACTGGCGTAACAAAGAAGAGGGACACCCTGAAAGAAGCGCCCCGGGCCGGGCCAGGCAGAGTCAAGGGCGGGCCCCTAAGTCGGTCCAGCCTCTCTCCCAGAGCGAGCGCGGGGCTCCGCCCAGCCGCCGCCTGAGCCCGCCCGCATGTCGCGTGTGCGGGTAGTCTCGAAACGGCCGTCAACCTGGGCGTCGCGGGCCTGCAGGCGCGGACAGCAGAGACACGAGCGCGGCCCCGGCGGCTCCGCAGTGGGGAAGTGGGGGGGCTGAACCGCTAACTTGGGACGCGGGAAGCTGGTGGCTTCTCCCCATCCGTGAGCTAGGCTACGCCGCCGACGTCATGGCGGGGCGGGGCGCGGGGAAGTGACGTCACGGCTGGAGCAGCCTGGGAACCGCTGTCGGGACGCGGGCGAGCATGTCGGCTCTGACCCGGCTGGCGCCGTCTGTTCGCGCAGGAGGTCGCCTCTTCAGAGGCTGCCGCGAGCGGATGGCTAGAGGAGGTGGAGTCCGTCAGTGAGTGTGGGCTGGGACGGGGGCTTTGCCGGCTTCCAGCGGACAGCGCCGGTCTGCGGACGCCCTCACCTTGACGCCGGGCGTCCGGAGCCGACGAGGCCCGGCGGCGACCTCCGCCCGAGGCCTGCTGGGTCCTGTAGTGCGCGCGCGCGCGCAGCCGGGCCCCGCAGGCCCCGCGGCGCGGTGGGGAGGCTGTTGGCCCCGCAGACCGGACACAATGTGTGGGGCCACCGCCGTACCGGAGGCACCCGCGCTCCGGGGAGTCACGGCGCTGTGCGGACGGGCTCAGCTGGGAGGCGAGCGCGCTTCAGGCCGAGGGGGCGGCTTGTGTGGCGCCTGTGTTGGGGCGTCTGGAGCGAGGCAGGGAGCGGCGGCGAGGGACTCGGAGGGCTTCTCGAGGGTCCTGGTGCGTGGCTGAGGAGTTTAGGACACAGACGATTGCGCTCTTTGGGAAATTTTAATCAGAGACGTCTTGTGGCCAGTTTTTAATTCTGAAAACTCACTCGGCTGCAGAATGGGGACCTCGTTTAAGGGTCCGGAGTGGAGGCTATCACCTAGTGAGCGTGCCGTGGTGGGGAGGAGAGGGGAGCCACAGCCCACGCGTGGGCAACACGGAATTCAAGAGAGGGAGCCCAAGCAGCAGACCCGAGAGCATAGGGCTGGGAAGTCAGAGGAGCTGCCAGCAGCGAATTGGTAACACAGAGAGATTCCCCAAGAGCGGGACTGAAAATGGAATAGTGGATTTTTCCAGGTGATTCTCCAGCGTTTTCCTGAACACTGAGACTATCATCCACACTTTACCAAAAGGCAGGGCGGTGTCGTGGTTCAGAGCGGGGTTCTGACCACAGAGTGGCTGGATTTAAATCCCACCTCTGCTGCACTTGCAGTCTAGCTGTGTGACCTTGGAAACGTTGCTTAATCTCTCAATGCCTCAGTTTCCTCACCCATTTTGTAGGGGTAATAACATCTCTTTCCAGGGAACTAAATGAGTTACTCTTCTCTAAGGTGTTAAAACAGTTGCTGGTGCCTAGTAAGGATCATACAAGTATTAACCGTTGGTAGGCTGTTATAGGAGTGACTTGCCTGAAGTCCCAAATTAAGCTTTGGAGCTTAAGAATTAATTAAGAATTTGGAGCTGAGGCAAGTGTGGGGTGGAAGGAAGGGAAATCCTGTGTGACCTGGGCGAAGATAGTGCTGGAGAGCCACCAGCAATATAGCCCTTGACCCGCATGAGCAGACTGGAGAGTGCTGCTCTTCACTGAGCTATTGGCACTAACATAACACACGCTTATTTCAGTGTGTGATACTAAGTATTTATGGAGTGTATTGTATTTGCCAGGCTTCTTTCTAGGTGCTGGGGATATAGCAGAATACAAGAGAGATAACAAAGCTTACATTCTGGAGAGAAGAATCAAACTAGTAGAAAAGAATGTGTTTAGGTACTGTTAAGGGGTATGAAGAGAATCCATCAGGGGATTAACAGAGTGCTTGGGGCCGGGTGGATGGGGATATTGTACCTGGGATGGTGTGGGAGTGCTCCCAGAGTTTGATTTGGACTAGGACCCCAGGGGTGAGAAGGTAGCCATGCATAGCCCAAAGGCAGAGCCTCCCAGACAGAGGAGGCAGCAAGTGGAAAGCAGGGAGGTAGAGGGACAGGGCAGGAAGACAGGTCAGAGAATCAAGTAGGGGCTGGATTAGGGAGGGCCCTGGAGGACCGGCAATTTTATTCTGAGAGTCTCAGGGAACCATTGCAGGCTTTAAACCAGGACAGTAATGAGGTCAGATTTATGTTTTAAAAATTTGACCTGGCCAGGGTGGTGGCTCAGGGATGTAATCCCAGCACGTTGGGGTGCTGAGGTGGAAGGATCGCTTGAGCCCAGGAGTTGGAGACCAGCTTGGGCGACATAGCAAGATGAGACCCCATCTCTACAAAAAATACAAACCACCACCAGTCGTGGTGGTGTGCGCCTGTAGTCCCAGCCACTTGGAAGGCTGAGGCTTGAGCCTCAGGAGTTCCAGGCTGCAGTGGGCTATGACTGCACCACTGCACTCCAGTCTGGGCTACAGGAGTGAGACCCTGTCTTAAAAAAAGTGACTTTCAGAGTTATGGTGCAGTTTTGTTTTTAAACTTGACTCTTAAAAATTCTAGGTTTCTTCCCCATTCTGTTTCTTCCTTATGGGACTCACTCATAATGTCATATTTCCTTATATCTTTTGACTGCATGCTCATTTTCTCTGGAATTTTTTTGAGATCTTGCTTCTCTTAGCCTCTTGACGGTGCCACCAATCCAAGATCACTGTAAATTCTTGGTTTGGGGTTTTTGAACCACACTGGCACAACCCAGGTAGTTTGGATTTGGGTGCAAACCTACCTGTGGACTGGCTTCTGGTAACAAATTCCTGTTCCCTTCTTCATGGCAGGTTTATTTCTCATTCACCTTTCTACTGTGCAGCTGCAGCTTTATTCAGGGCTCTCATAATTAGAATCCTTATTTTGGGTGGGCCCCAGGCTGCTTTTCTGGTCCCCCATACCTCATTCAGCTGTCCAGGAAGACAAGGACTCTAGATGAATGCCAGCTTCAGTGCTTATTTTGTTGCTAGGCCTTGTTTTTACTTGGATTTTGCCCATGATAGATTCTTTCCTTTTGTTGTCCCTGGTCAGCGATGTTTATAAAAATAATAATAAAAAATTTCCTAGTTTCAATTTGGAGGGTTGTTCAGGGTATCTAGTTTGTTACAGTGTCATTAACAACCTGTTTTGGAACATAACATAATCAGGTGTTTGTTGAATCTTTGCATTCCTTAATCATAGCAATTGTTGTGTCATCTATTCCTTTTCTGTAATTGCAGTCTTTCAAATCTTTATTTAAAAAGATATTCACCTTGACCAGGTGCAGTGGCTCACACCTGTAATCCTAGCACTGTGGGAGGCTGAGGCGGGCGGATTGCTCGAGGTCAGAAGTTCGAAACCAGCCTGAGCAAGAGTGAGACCTCCTCTCTACTATAAATAGAAAGAAATTAATTGGCCAACTAATATATATATATATAAAATTAGCCGGGCATGGTGGCGCATGCCTGTAGTCCCAGCTACTCGGGAGGCTGAGGCAGCAGGATTGCTTGAGCCCAGGAGTTTGAGGTTGCTGTGAGCTAGGCTGATGCCATGGCATTCACTCTAGCCTGGGCAACAAAGTGAGACTGTCTCAAAAAAAAAAAAAAAAAAAAATATTTACCTTGTAGTCAGTGGCCTACCTACTTCGGGTCATAGTTAAAATAACATTAACTCTAGCAAGAATGAAATGTGGAGAGTTGCTGAGATGGGATTTGAACTATAACCCTAGCCTTCCTCAAATCTTATTTTAATAAGTTTTACTTATTTGATGAGCTCTTATGCCTAGATTGTTTTTTTTTTGTTTGTTTTTTTTTGAGACAGAGTCTCGCTTTGTTGCCCAGGCTAGAGTGAGTGCCGTGGCGACAACCTAGCTCACAGCAACCTCAAACTCCTGGGCTCAAGCAATCCTCCTGCCTCAGCCTCCCAAGTAGCTGGGACTACAGGCATGCACCACCATGCCCAGCTAATTTTTTTCTATATATTTTTAGTTGGTCAATTAATTTCTTTCTATTTTTTAGTAGGGATGGGATCTTGCTCTTGCTCAGGCTGGTCTCAAACTCCTGAGCTCAAATGATCTGCCCGCCTTGGCCTCCCATAGTGCTAGGATTACAAGCGTGAGCCACCACGCCAGGCCAACACATTCATATTTTTGTTGCAACATAATGAATATTCACTAATTGAAAACCGTAATTAGCTAGTAATTTCAGGCCAGTTTTTGCAGTTTACATACGTTTAAAGCAAGCTTAATGAGAAACGAGTATTTTGAGGGATTGTGAATCTCTTTCTGTCTGTATTTCAATGGAGGAGATGAGAAATGTCTGCTTAGTTTTTTAGATATAACTCAAAGTTTTGGATGACTTAATACTTTGAAAATGCAGCAAGCTGCCTACCGTTTTGTTTTGTCTCAGTGCTGGCGGTGGTGTGCATATCGAGCCCCGGTATAGACAGTTTCCCGAGCTGACCAGATCCCAGGTGATCAAGGCTGAGTTCTTCAGTGCAACCATGTGGTTCTGGATTCTCTGGCGCTTTTGGCATGACTCAGATGCTGTGCTGGTAAGTGCAGGAGAATAGTTCTTGTCCTTTTTTGGGTAAGGGGGAGGGAGAATATATTAATGGCCTAGCTTATATATTTTTCTGTTTGGATATATTCCTCACCACTGTGTTGTCCATGTGTATATCCAGGAATCTTGTTTAATGAAATGTGTTATCTTCTAACCTTCTTTACATGAGGATGTACATTTAGGTGGTCCATGTCTTATGTTTTCTGGTAGGTTGCCATATTTGAAGACTAGAAACGAATTCTTTTACCTCCCCAATTAGGCATTCATCAGTGGGTTAAGTTTCAGACTTAAATTCTTTTAAATGATGAATATCATTTAGTTTGTACAGAGGCCCAGGGCAGCCACGTTTGGGTGGGATGGATGTGAGTTAATTTGTCTTGAGAAAGGAAGTCAGTTATTCTATGATATTCTAACATGTTATTAGCCTCACCTAAGATGTTTTGTTTTGTTTTTTTTTTTTTTTTGGAACAGAGTCTTCGCCTTGTTGCCCAGGCTAGAGTGAGTGCCGTGGCATCAGCCTAGCTCACAGCAACCTCAAACTCCTGGCTCAAGCAATCCTCCTGCCTCAGCCTCCCAAGTAGCTGGGACTACAGCATGCCCACCATGCCCGGTCAATTTTTTGCTATATATATTAGTTGGCCAATTAATTCTTTCTATTTATAGTGGAGACGGGTCTCGCTCTGCTCAGGATGGTTTCGAACTCCTGACCTCGAGCAATCCGCCCGCCTCGGCCTCCCAGAGAGCTAGGATTACAGGCGTGAGCCACCGCGCCCGGCCGTGTTTTGTTTTGTTTTTGAGACAGAGTCTCACTCTGTTGCCCAGGCTAGAGTGCCGTGGCGTCAGCCTAGTTCACAGCAACCTCAAACTCCTGGGATCCAGCAATCCTCCTGCCTCAGCCTCCCAAGTAGCTGGGACTACAGGCATGTGCCACTATGCCTGGCTAATTTTTTCTATGTATTTTTAGGGGCCAATTAATTTCTTTCTATTTTTAGTAGAAATGGGGTCTCTCTTTTGCTCAGGTTGGTGTTGAACTCCTGAGCTCAAGCAGTCCTCCCGCATCGGCCTCCCAGAGTGCTATGATTATAGGCGTGAGCCACTGCACCCGGCCGGAAGTTACACCTTTAACACATCGAAATTTGCTTGTTGATTCAGAATACTGTAAATTTTAGTAAATTTGGGTTTGTTTCTAGAATAGTAAAAAAACCTTATAGTATACAAGTTTTAGAAGCATCCGGTTGCTTAATGTCCCATTTCTCTTGGAACTTTTCTGTGCCCTTGTCCTTCAGAAGGAGCTACTGAGGTATCTGAATTGGCAGCAAGCACACTTACTGTTTACAATCCCACTGTGTCATTGTTGGGCAGTAGTCAAGAATATATAAAGCTGTTGGGCAGGTGATGATGCAGCCAGAAAGCCCTTAGAGCATCCCCCTGAGGCTCCTGAATCTCACAGTAGTAATGACAGGAGAGTTTGAAACATTTATATTTTGCCAGGACTTCAAGACATTGCAAAGATGCGGGGTACCTTTGAAAACTGTTACCTCCACTTTCCCCTACCCTCCATCACAAATCCATATCGTTGGCTTAGGCTGATACCTCCAGATTGGGGGAGGTTTTTGAAATTCAGGCCATGGCCCATATGAACAGAGTGTAGAACAGCTGGGCCACCAAATAGTTAAAGTAGATTTGTTCCTGTGGTATTTCAGGGGCTGTGTACATGGCAGTTAGCTCCATCATGTTTTTTTTCTTTCCAAAATTTCTTTTAAAATTTAATTAGTTGCAAGGAATATAGATTCTTGACTTTTTTTTCTTTTAAATGGTTGTCACTAGGGTCATTTTCCATACCCAGATCCTTCCCAGTGGACAGATGAAGAATTAGGTATCCCTCCTGATGATGAAGACTGAAAGTGTAGACTCTTTGCAAGTGAGTATACCCCAGATTTCTTTAAGTTATATTTCTCTTTTGTCATAAACATTTGTTTGGACTTCGTACCTAGGATGGTCTTAAAGAAACTGCATATTGGAACAGCATGAAGCACAATTAACCATGTCATGTATCTAATTTCTGCCTTAAGTATTTTCACATGATATGATCTGGTCTCATCTTCCTTTTCACTGTATATTTTAGAAATTCTTTTTTTTTTTTTTTTTTTTTCTGAGACAGGGTCTCACTTTGTTGCCCAGGCTAGAGTGAGTGCCGTGGCGTCAGCCTCGCTCACAGCAACCTCAACTCCTGGGTCAAGCAATCCTCCTGCCTCAGCCTCCCGAGTAGCTGGGACTACAGGCGTGCTCCCCATGCCGGCTAATTTTTTCTATATATATAGTTGGCCAATTAATTTCTTTCTATTTTATAGTAGAGACAGGGTCTCGCTCTTGCTCAGGCTGGTTTCGAACTCCTGACCTTGAGCAATCCACCCGCCTCCGCCTCCCAGAGTGCTAGGATTACAGGCGTGAGCCACTGCGCCCGGCCTAGAAATTCTTTTTTCCTAAGTTAGTATACAATTTTAGGGTCCCATTTATCCATCTATTGATCAAAGACACATTAAGACCAATTCTATGCCAGGTATGGGAATACAGTGGTGAACAAGACAGATATGGAGCTTATAGTGTATAACTGCAAAAATACAATGTCCTACCCCCCAGTGTTTAAATGGAAAGATCCAACATAGGGGAGTATTACTATATGCAACTGTATGGAAATTAACTCTTTAAACAGTGAAGGGTTATAGCCCTTTCATTTTCCGGGACAGGAAGTCAATAATTTTTCTGTCAGAAGGAGATACTAAGAGGAATCCCTTTCTCCACAAAACTCTCAGGGGTTAAGACATTCTCCTTTAACCTGGTTTTGTTTTGTTTTGTTTTGGCAGAGTCTCTGTAGCCCAGCTGGAGTACAGTGGCATAATCATAGCTCACTGCAACCTCAAACTCCTGGGCTCAAGTGATCCTCTTGGCTCAGCCTCTTGAGTATCTAGGACTGTAGGCAAGCACCACCACGCCCAGCTAATTTTCCTTTTTTTATTTTTTGTCGAGATAGGGTGTACTGTGTTGTCCAGGCTGGTCTTCAGCAATTTTAATTATTAATATCTTATTGGCATGAAAATTACAGCAGTTTTGAGGTCTGTAGGGAGGAGGAGGATTGGGATATAGAGTGTCACCAAAGGGCAGGCAGTTAACCTGTTTTGTAGTTTTTTTTGTCGTTAGCTTTGCTTATGGACAGTCAAAAGTCTTAGTCCTTGCTTGGCTTCCTGTTCCCTTGATATTAACTTCTCTGCCAACATGAATCTCTTTCTGTGTTCATACAGATGTCCCAATAATTCCCACACACACAAGTGTTAACATTTTGTTTCAGTGCTTGGACTATAAACCCTTTGAGAGAAGGGTGGTTTTGCTTCTCTCCTTTACGAGTTTCTCATGATCAGTGCTCAATAAATGCTTGAATAATTGAATAAACAAGAATTACAGACTTGGATTAGTGAATAGAAAAGTACTTAAAGCTTTCTACTTTTGTTTTCCTGCAGGAGCCAAGTGAGAATTTCAAGAAATTACGGACTTCATGTTGTACATTAAAGTTATAAATTAAAGTGGTTTGGTCAAGAATGAGGAATGGAGTTATGATGCTTCTGATAATGCAAACCACCCTTTATGGAATTTTTTTTTTTGCTTCACCTGCTGCTCTAAATGGTTTATAGAGCCTTTCAGCTGATCCTCTTAGGTACCCTGTGATATAGGTAGTTGTTAGCTCCATTTATCAGTGAGGACATCAAGGCTTCAGGGGATGCAATTACTTGCTTAGCAGCACACACCGGTAAGCGGTAAGGCTAGGGACTCCAAAGCTCATGCTTAACCACAGTGCAGTACACCTCCTCCTTAGCTAATACCACAGGCATTCATGTGCTGACAGTTAATGCGAAAACTCTTGCCATTTATCTGCTGCAGGTGGATTCTTGCCCTAAGTATATAGAGGTTAGTGGTCAGCACAGTCTATTTATTATTGAAATAGCTCCTGTGGGCTGACCATTATGTTGAGTGACCATTGTGGAACTCTTAAATCATACTTCTAGGCCGGGCACTGTGGCTCACGCCTGTAATCCTAGCTCTTGGGAGGCCGAGGCGGGCGGATTGCTCAAGGTCAGGAGTTCAAAACCAGCCTGAGCAAGAGCGAGACCCCGTCTCTACTATAAATAGAAAGAAATTAATTGGCCAACTGATATATATATAAAAAAAAAATTAGCCGGGCATGGTGGCGCATGCCTGTAGTCCCAGCTACCCGGGAGGCTGAGGCAGAAGGATCACTTGAGCCCAGGAGTTTGAGGTTGCTGTGAGCTAGGCTGACGCCACGGCACTCACTCTAGCCTGGGCAACAAAGCGAGACTCTGTCCCCAAAAAAAAAAAAAATCATACTTCTAACTAGGAATTCTTAGGGCCAGAGGAATAGGAGACAGGGGTGAAACAGGATTTTTCACTTTTTCTAAAATTTATTTCAAAGTACTTTCTAACTTTGTATAGCATCACAATTATGAAAGGAGATAGGACAGACTTTTCTTCCATCCAGTTATCTTTGGTATGGAGTAGCTTGCTGACTTGTCCCAAAAGCACAACTTTTTTTTTTCCTTCCTTTTTTTTTTGAGACAAAGTCTCACTCTGTTACCCAGGCTAGAGTGCCGTGGCGTCAGCCTAGCTCACAGCAACTCAAACTCCTGGGCTCAAGTGATCCTACTGCCTCAGACTCCACAGTAGCTGGGACTACAGGCATGCGCCACCAAGCCTGGCTAATTTTTCTATATATTTTTAGCTGGCCAATTAATTTCTTTCTATTTTTAGTAAAGACAAGGTCTTGCTCTTGCTCAGGCTGATCTCGAACTCCTGAGCTCAAACAGTCCACCCGCCTTGGCCTCCCAGATTGCTAGGATTATAGGCGTGAGCCACCGTGCTTGGCCTTCTTCCTCTCTTTAAAGGAACCGGGTCTCACTGTATCACCCAGGCTGGTCTCAAACTCTAGGCCTGAAGTGATCCTTCTGCCTCAGCCCTGAGTAGCTGGGACTAAAGGCATGAGCCTACCATGCCTGGTAACTTTTTGTTTTTTTTAAGTTAGGTTTTTGACCACCTGTACATTGGGAATACAGTGCTAAAGAAGACAGATAAGATTCAAAGGGAAGACAGGAAGTCACTAACCACATGAGACTTACTGAGTGCTGTGGAGGAAACATCACTGAGCGTATTGGCCCTCTAGGTGCTCAGGGAAGCATTTGAGCTGAAACCAGAATAAAGAGGAGCCAGTTGTTTGAGGGTCTACAGGAAGTGTGTTCTGGGAATAAGAAACAGCAAGCAAGTATCAAGGTCTAGGGTAGGACTGCAGTTGCTGTGTTTAAGGAACAAAGTCCCAGGACAGCTCCTGCGAATGAGGAGTGGGAGAGACTCAAAGTTAGTAGGTTATGGCCACAGGTTTAGATTTTATGTTAAATATAGTGAGCAACCTCTGGAAGGGTTTAAAATGATGGGATTTCCTAGGAAGGAGTTTTTCCATTCCACCTTTAGTTCTTTTTCAGTTGTCACAGAGCGGGTTCAGTGGCAGCTGAAGCAAGTGGAACAGCCCTCCCCAACTGCCAGCTCCAGCAAGCGTGTGCCTGTTGCAAGGGGTGCTGGAGTCACTTCCCTTGGTTTTGTGTTTACTCACCTGTGTAAGGGTGAGCTGTGTCAGCTGACAAAGGGATGTCTAAGGTCTTTACTTTAAAAATCATCACCTCTCTTTGTACTTTTTAGGTTTAATTTTTGTTGTCCTACCCCCAACATTAATAAAGGGTTTTTTTGGGGAAGAAAACAATTGACAGCAGTGAACCGAGGTAGGGGAATCCCATTAGCTGTTTTCCTTAGAAATCAGGGTTGCTCGACTTGAATTAAAAGGTAACTTTTAAATAGCCTTCTTTTTTTTTTTGGAGACAGAGTCTCGCTTTCTTGCCTAGGCTAGAGTGAGTGCCGTGGCGTCAGCCTAGCTCACAGCAACCTCAGACTTCTGGGCTCAAGCGATCCTCCTGCCTCTGCCTCCCGAGTAGCTGGGACTACAGGCACGAGCCACCATGCCCGGCTGATTTTTTTTTTATATTATATATATTAGTTGGCCAATTAATTTCTTTCTATTTTTATGGTAGAGACGGGGTCTCGCTCAGGCTGGTTTTGAACTCCTGACCTTGAGCAATCCGCCCGCCTCGGCCTCCCAGAGTGCTAGGATTACAGGCGTGAGCCACCGCGCCCGGCAAAATAGCCTTCTTTTGTTTAAAGAATATGGAGGCCACACTGGAATCCTCTTTTTCATGCATGGGTCATGAAGCCAATTTGAACTGATGCAGGAAATTGTTCCCAGCCTTCTCAAAGGAACTGGACTCCTTGCTATATATAGTATGGGAAAATAATTAAATGGAAAAAGGTCCCAAAGAGATGTTAAATACATTTGATTGTTGGCTATATATATAATAGTTAAAGGAAATAACAGCAAACACACATGTCAGGTTGTTGTGTTTCCTGGTTCTTATCTCAGTATCGAAGAATGGTTACTGAGACTGAGTTGAGGGAATAAATGAGAAGGCCAAACAGATACAAGCGAGCCAAACACCAAGATTTATTAAGCATGATATGTTCCCGAGGTAAGGGTAAGGGTTCTATCTCCGTGAGTGGAGATGTCCCTGAGTTTCTAATACACACATACTTTTATATGGTAAATGAACTGCCCCTCCTTAAGATGGAGTTTCCATTTCCTGTCCTTGGATGATTGACAGGTTTTCTTACATAACTCCCTTAGTTTGTGTGCATGCGTCCTCCCAGAATCCTTCATGAGGACACCTAAAAACACGTTAATGTGCATACTCCAGTTTACCCCGTTTATGGCCTTGACCATTATCTCCAGTTTGTGGTTTCTCTACCCCTTTCTGGTTGGTCGGTTTATACATCCTCTTATCCTAGACAAAAACATCTGTTCCTCTCCCTTCTTCCTGCCTAACACTAAGGGCTAGGCACTGTTAATACTTCACATGTGTTAATTTATCAAATCTTTATTATTTCTACTTTATAACTGAAGTTTAGCTGTGGATGGGGGGTGATTTGCTCAACTCATGTAGCTAGTTAGTGGGAGAGCTGAGGTTTAAATCCTGGCTGGCTGGCTCTAGGTGGAGTCAGTTTTGTCTGAGTCAGCATAGCATGGTGTAAACCTTTTTGATCACAATTTACTATAAGAATTAATCTTATAAGTGACCTAGTATATAAATATGCTTGCATACATATGTATCTAATCCCAAAGTTTTATGAAATGATACTTATTGTGATGCACATTTTCAATTCTACATAAAGAATGGCCAGTTGAGAACCCCCAAACTGATTTTACTACCCATTAAAGGGTAGTAAATTTTAATTTTCAAACCTGCTGTTTGAATAACTGGCATAGTGCTTCCAGACCTCTGGCTCTGGAGTCAAACTTGCTGGTATGACTAGTAGCTCTACCATTTACTTGCTGTGAGTTTGGGCAAATTAATTTTGATCCGTGCCTTAATTTCCTCAGTTAAATGAATTAACACATAAAGCACATAGGACTTCACCTGGCATGAAGGAAATACTTTCTAAATGGAAGCAGTTGTTATTTCTAGACCATTGGGTCTAAGCTAAGTTTACAGTGACCCTGGAATCCCAGTATGATTTTTATAGAAAAGCCTCCATGTGGAGCTAGACTAAGCTGTACGCAGATGTTCCTGCAGATGCAGTGGCACCCCTCCCCCCTGTCAACAACAAGCCAAAGCAAAACGAACATATTTGGGATATCTTTCTTCCTGATGAGTAGCAACAAGTACATTCAAAGTAAGTTTTAGGGTGTGGCCTAGAGATGGAGAGGTGTGGGATATAAAATGGGAAGGGAGGTGGTAAAGTATTGATGGCAGTAGAGAAGATCAAGTGTCAAATTTTAGCACACACATTTGTAACTTCACTAGTTTCCTATGGAACCTTAATACCACAATAAAGTTGTGACAAGAGAGGTACTATATAAAGAATACCTGTTAAATTCATGCATCAGAAAGATACAGAAGTCATCTTAATCAACTTGGTCTGAGAACTATTTTGTAGAAGAGGTTGACCCTGTTGTCTGCTGCCACCATTTCATCAGAAGCATCTGTGGGACACCGGTGTGCAGCGTCAAGGAAATGGGAGCTGCCTGAGCTGGTGTGTTGACTTGCCTCAGTAGCTGGGCTTTTGCCTTTTGTCACCTGTATCAGCAGTGGCTTACCTGATTGGTGAAGATAGCAAGGACAAGTAGAGTTTGCCTAGCACAATATCCATTTTCAGCTACAAACTTATTGTCATGGAGTCAACACCTGTTTCTATCCAAATTTCACAACCATCATGACAACAAAATTATATATATGTAAAGTATATATAAATATACATAAATAGTAGATGGAGCTTGGGATATTAAATGGAAAGGTAGGTGGTGAATTATTGATGGCAACAAAGAAGATCAAGCGTCAAATTTTAGCACACACATTTGTAACTTTACTAGTTTCCTATGGAGCCTTAATACAATTGTCTATTTAATAAAGTTATGTGACAAGAGAGGCACATATTTATTTATATATGTATATATATATACAAATAAGATGCATAGTACTGATCTTGGGTCCTGGCTACATAAACCTAGTATGTTCCATAGTCAGTAACTGCTCCATAGTCAGTAACTGCTGTGAGGGACTTGGACCACATTATCTTTAAGAACTCTTAACGTTAATTTTATGAGCCTATAACTAACTGTATAACCTAGACAGTAGGTCCAATTATCACAGCCCCTGATAAAACAAAATTTCAGAAGAGCTGGTGTGGTAAGGTTCTACATAATAGAATTTGCTAATAGCTAGAGCTTCCATAATTCTGAGCTAATTTTTTTTTTTTTTTTTGAGACAGAGTCTCACTCTGTTGCCCAGGCTAGAGTGAGTACCATGGCGTCAGCCTAACTCACAGCAACCTCAAACTCGTGGGCTCAAGCGATCCTATTGCCTCAGCCTCCTGAGGAGCTGGGACTAAAGGCATGTGCCACCATGCCTGGCTAATTTTTTCTATATATTCTTGGTTGGCCAATTTCTTTCTATTTATAGTAGAGATGGGGGTCTCGCTCTTGCTCAGGCTGGTTTCGAATTCCTGACCTGGAGCAATCCGCTCACCTCGGCCTCCCAGAGTGCTAGGATTACAGGTGTGAGCCACCGCGCCTGGCCTGAGCTAAATTTTAAGGAAAACATATCTTAAAAAATAAGGCCACAATTATTCTGTTATAATCATGTATGTAGGTTATTTAGAAAATCAGTTTCTGTAATGTTTGTATTATTAGAATTACGTTTTTCAGATGAGAACACTCCAGAGGAAATTCTGAAGTCTTGCTGGCCTTGAACTCCTGGGTTCAAGTGATTCTCCTGCCTCAGTTTCCCAAGTATCCACAATTAAGTCTTGACAGCATTTTATGGTTAGGGAGGGGAATGAGGGCTGTGGAAGACCAGACGCCAGATTCCTTAAACACATGCCCTCTTAAAGACTTTTGTTCTTTCATATTTTTCTCAGACATAAGATTTCCAGGTGAAGTTTTAAAACTAGTTACCTCTCTTCTGGAAACTGCCCAGTAATTTAATATATTTTCTCTGAAGATAACTCTAGGTGTTTCTCAAACTTCAGGTCATGAAATGAAGTACATGAAATCAACCAACATTAAAAAAATAATGACGTAGACAACATAAGTGCATAATTTCAAATATGTACGTTAGTGTGCATACTGTTACTATAGAAAATGTAAGTTGTGTCAAAAGTTGGAAAAAATACAATTCTAAGGTGAATTTCTGCAGATAAACTCTGTTTCCATTACTTAATTAGAACACACACTTCAACACCATACAGAGGCCGGGTGCTGTGGCTCACACCTGTACTCCTAGCCTCCTAGTTCGAAACCAGCCTGAGCAAGAGCGAGACCCCGTCTCTACTAAAAAAAATAGAAAGAAATTAGCTGGATAACTAAAAATATATAGAAAAAAATCAGCCAGGCATGATGGTGCATGCCTGTAGTCCCAGCTACTCAGGAGGCTGAGGCAGAAGGATTGCTTGAGCCCAGGAGCCTGAGGTTGCTGTGGGCTAGGCTGATGCCAGGGCACTCTAGCCTGGGCAACAAAGTGAGACTCTGTCTCAAAAAATAAACAAACAAAAAAACACCAACATACAGAAAGCAGCCATTCGAAACTAGATACATCAGGTCACAACATCCAAAAATATTTGAGGGTCACTGACTGATACCTGACAGAAGATTGTTACCACTACATGTTGTACAGCATGTATCAGGTGCTGGCGTGAATCTTGACAACTTTAAATTCTACACACCAAGCAGTAATCAACGTTATGTATGAAACAAAATGATTATTTCTCAGTCCTTCCACTGCCTGGAAGAACTGTCAAAACTGCTGACTACTTCTGTTACTGAATGTAATAGTGCTAGAAAAATAATCTTCATGAAGACTTCTCCATGCAGTCAATCTTTATTATAGCAGTATTCGCATATTCACATCAAGTACATAGAACTTTTTGCCTTTTATATAATACAGAGTTTTTAAATAACTTTACACAGAAATAAATTTCTTCAATCTGAATTTCAGCTATCTTTTTTATTTAATTCTCCATGCTTTCTATTCAAACTGAACAATATTTTCCATTATACAAATTTACATGAGAAAAACTCCAAAGTACAAATGAAGGGACCTGAGCAGGAAAGAGAACCAAAGTATCAGGAAGTGGGTATGGGGAAGAATTAAAAAAAAAAAAAAAAAAGATTCAAGCAAACATTGAGGATTAAGGGACAAGAGGGAGACATCATCCATTTGACTGAAAATAAATGTCTTTTTTTATGAATTGAAAAATAAGCTTTAAAAATAGTTACTCCATTATAATTTTTGCAAAGCAGGTATAGAGAGGTCTGTGGACAATTAAAAAGTCCCCATCTTTTCACTGGGCATACCCCAGACTCCATGAGAACCTTTTCAATGCTTGAGTGGAACTGAAGTGAACTAAACCCAAACCTTTGGCAGTAACAGAGAAGAGAGGAATGTGTATGTGAATTGCCATAAGGTTTGGAGTGGTGAAACAGGAGCCATTAATTCACTGCAGTTCAAACATGAAACATTTCCCTTTCCTCTCCCTTCCAGGAGACTTCCTCAAACCAAGGAATACATGAAAAGGCAGGATTTTCCTTTTTCTTGGTCTAAACCAAAGAGCAATCACAACTACTGAATAGAATTCAAAGAGATGCATGTTGATGAAATGATAAAATTCAATCCCCTGATCAGTTCTATGATCCTATCTTAGGAAAAACAGCAACTGCTGTGTGAGGAAAGGATCAGGTGTACAACCAACAAATGAGATTACCACAAACACATATCACTGATACAGTCCTTCAAATCAGGCGATATCATGAAGGCCAAACCGAGACTAGACCATGTGGCGTGGCCAAAGGAAACACAGAGGACTCAATGAATGCATTTTCAAGTGAAGGAAGGAAAAGGGTACAACATACACACACCCCTGTTTGTAAACTAATATAACATGAAGATAAATAAGACAAAGGTTAGCCACTTATGTTGGTAATTAACACGAATAAAAAGGCATCATATGTTTATATAGCTGGTTTTAATCAGCTATGCAACATACACAAATGTATTAGGAAGGAATGATTTTTTTAAAAAAACCCGTTCACAGCTTAGAATAAAAAGCACACTTATTGCACTCTTACATTTTATTTCAGGTAATAATAGTTTATTCCCTACCCTCACATTAATTTTTCCCTATCCCCAGACTTACTCCTACCTCACCCCATTTTGGTCTACTTTCTCTACGTCTGTGCCTACCTAGTCTGTGAGCTTTGTAGCTTATACTAGTCTGCAGTTTCCTTCTATGTAACTCATACTCCACCAAAACACACACGGTCTCAAAAAGGCTTAATGCACAAATGCAACAAATTTTCAAAACAAAACTGGGACTAAGCAACTTAATCATAACTCCCATTCCCACCCCTGTAAACAGACTCTTCCCTTGCCACCTCTCTGTGTACGCACTGTGGATGAGAACCAGTCTCATGGGTGCTGCATAATATTACTCAGCCTGCCAGGAGAAGCAGATGGTTTGCACACAGAATTCTTATGATACTAACATGAACAAACATTTTAGTAGCACTTCAATCTACAAATTTCTTTTAAAAAATGCACCACGAAAAACAGATACACTGGCTTACAATGGCTGTGTCCTCATACACAACTGGTCATATCATTGTAATTTATCAAAACAGCTAAATAAAAGTAACATTTAAAAAAACTGATTTAATAATTAATAAAACTAAGTTGACATCTGAACTTGCGGATGCTGAAATAAAGGATCTACTTTAATCACTTTATTGAGGTAGGGACCAACTGTCCCTATGTGTTTTTAAAGCACTGTTACCATGATAGAAGATTTTAGGACTTCAATTTGTCCTCTTCTACCTTCAAAACACCTGATTGGAACTGTTAATTACCCTTTCCACAATTACTAAAAATTAGGACTGAATTTCAGTTTTAATGCCTTTGCCCAAGCACAAGTGAAAATGGGTTATTTGAAACAATAAAACAAAGCCTACTTTGTCTAATGTACTAATATAACAAAAATCTAACATAACACCATTTTCATTTTACCAGAGTTAGTAACATGGACCATGAATACACTGGCCACTTCCCCTTCCTCTGGCCCATCTACAAATCATTGCCTCTGCAGGCAGGCATGCTACTGTTCTCCTCTGGGGCTCAACTACCTACGGGCATCAGTAATGTATCTCAGTAAACATCTCAAAGACGCGCTGGAGACAATACATTGACTTTCTTGGGGGTGGTGAGAAATGAAACAAGATATGAGAACCATACCATGGAGTACGTCGGGTGTTACACCCACTGGCCAGGCCATAAAGGACGCCTCCAGAGACCTCCCCGGCCCCCACAGCACACCGCAGCAGGATTGCTTGTGCAGTCCAGCTTCATTTGCAAACAAGTCCTGGGAGGCAAGTTTATATTTCAATCTCTGAAAAATCAGTGTCTAGGTTGGCAGCAGTACTCTGGAAACTGATAAAATCAAATTCTGTCCTGTATTTTTAATTTCCCCTTCTAAGTTAATACATGATTGCTGCCCAGCATACAGTACTTCAACTCTAAACTACAGCGGTTTCTTGAAATTTCTGTCAAACGTTTCTGTTGTATAAAAGTTCCATGCTTTGAAGAACCTATAGGAGTAGAAAAAGTTTCTCTAGAAATGTCACTGAACTATATTTTCAACCTAGCTGCTCTATGTGATAAATATATCTGACTATACTAGGGATTATGTGCTTTAAAAAAATAATTTTGTTGACTGAAAATTTACCTGTGTGTTTTCTCATTTTTAAATGTGATTTTGGCTATAAACTTTTTAGTGCATTTATCTTTGCAGTCTAAATTGCACTCTAAAAAATATTAACACAGCTGAGTTAAACCAGAGTGGCTGCTTTCTTCACAAATCACTGATTTCTGCTAAAATTTTAGCTTTTTTTTATTGCATCATGAAGGCACAGTAAGATCATTTGGCAAATTGTCAAGGTATTTTTCTAGAGTCTCACTTCAATGTATGACCTGTAAGCGATTTGCTGTTCATACTCACAGTAAACCTTCCATCTCTGGCTATGGTTTCTTATAGCCTAATGGTTGGAATCTGCTAATCTCAAGGTGCTGATATTCTAGCACTAACAATGCCAACTTGGACAAAGGAGAGAATCTTGCAAAAAGGGTAATCATTCTACCCTCTTAGCTGGGCAGTCTCTCTCTATAAATATCTGTGCATGTGACAAAGCTGTGGCTAACATTATGAAGATGTACACTGTCTTGCAAAGCCTACTGAAAATTAAAATTACATCACTGTTATTGAAGTGATACCATAACTATTTAATTTCATGCAACTGACTTAAGGTTAAGATTCTGAAACATACCCCTAAACAAATTCTGGCACCACTTCCAACAACATTCAGATACTCTGAGCTACACTGTTTTACAGTATTACTGTTTAAATGTATAATGCCCTTTAGGACAAAATGAGAGTGCTCAAATACAAGTACACAAAAACGTTAAAAATTTAAATCATCTTCATGTTCTAGAGCTCCTGACTTTTCATATTTTAAAATAAATAACTATTCATTACCTCATTCTGAGGAGGTAGTTTTTTGAAGAGGTCACCTGAACCCTGCAATGTGTTTCAAACTAAAGCTAGAGATGAGGTTTGCAAGCGGCTGGCGAGGTGGATGTACAGTGGGGACAGGTGAGATCTGAGGAGGGGCATGCAGCAGCTCGGACTCTGCCTGATGAATACAAGGGAACATGGTGTGATAAAAGAGCTGTGACTGCACCAAACTAGAAGCTAGGAAGTATTTACAAAATTTCAGGTTGACGGTGCTGAATTCTTACATTATTTCTTTATATAATGCTCTTTCTTCTCTAACACCAACATAAATATAACACATATAATTTATATGGGATTTTATCTTCTAGGATGCCCTAGTATGTCCTATCAGATCTCACATATGAACAGGGACAGATGTTCAGGAACCAGAATTTGACAGCTAGACAAGAATGTTCTTTTAAGGTGCACATAAGAACAAATGAGCACCTTAGATTTTCTTTTCACAAATCCCTTTTATAAACTACTTTTTTTGGTCAATATTATTTCAGTGGCAAAAATCTAGGCCCAAGACTCTAGTTTAATGATGAAAAAAGTCCATCAGGAATACAACATATTTAAAAACAATCTTTTATAGTTGCTCTCAAATTTTTCAGAAGGCTTCACCTCTCCCTACCAAAAATAAAATACACTACAGAAGGCACTGAAGCACTTTACAGACAAGACTGTTACAGCCATACAAGATGATCAGTGTGAAGCAGCCACATACTGTCTATACAAATTGCTCATAAAGTGCTTTTCACAAATAAGGACTTCTTCCTTATGTTTTCTTAGGAGCTCAACAAGTCTATCTGTAGTCTAAGCATCAAAAAAATAAAGCAAATAAAACTCATATGTCATTTGTAAACTAGAGAAAAAACTATCTGATGGAAAAAAGAAAGAAAAGGGAGGTTTGAGTATTTTTATTTTTAAAGATCTCTATAAAAAGCTCTCAATACCCTGAGCCTGGCTTCTGGGCACAGCTACATTTGAGATCAAGTCTGCTCCCCCTTTTCAAGTGAGATAGCAACCTATTCTAAAATGAAAGGGAAGAAAAAATCGTATCACACTGAATTTTGTTTAGAAAACTCAAATGCTAAGCTTCCTCCCTAACTATACTGGCTTCTGTCTTGGCCACGCAGCAGGACATGGAATGAACACACACCTGTTAAAGCCCAGCACTCTCCACCTAGGGAGACTTTAAGCCAATCTTGGTAAAGGGAACACAGCCATGTTTAAAAGCATCTACAGGGGGGAAATGGGCATTTATTGAAACCTTAGAATCTGCACCCCCATAATATGCCGAAAAAAAAAAAAAAAAAAGCATCTACAGAGACATATTTAAAAAGAAAAAATAATGAATGCTTTTCAAGACAGGCAGCATCACACCCAGAAGATGCTCTTCAAATCAGCATGCCTCATTTCTATCTTGCTCATGTAAGACTTAAAAACACATTGCTTTTCAAATGAATTTACTAGGACAAGCTTTTACAAGTCCATGAAGTTTTCACTAGGCCTTCCTCTGAATACAGATACCTTAGCAAAAATCATGTAATGGTAATGAGCTTTTAGTAGGCTGAAAGATACATAGCAGGGCCAGGAGTTACAATCTGAAAATTTAAAATAACAATTTCTAATTCCCTGATTTATGTTAGGCCCTAATTTCTTTCAGATCCTTGGCTATAGCTTGGCTGGGTTAAGTACATCTGATTTGATTTACATTCCTAAATCCTGATTCTAGACTCAGGGAAGTAATTCCATTAATTTGCCATTAATACATCCAGAGTCACTACTGTGATTTATACTACCCTTTAATAAAGGCCAAGGGAAGCTATGACTAGGTTATATTTTCCATTTGTGCAAAGATAAGAAAGATTTAGGTTCTTAATACCACGTCAGCTCTTTCTATAAAAAAAAGTGATGATAGGCTTCCCACACCTTCCCTCAGTCCAAATATTCCTAAAATTGCTCTATTTTCTGCCTGGAATTCAGCTGCCAAATTACCCAACCTTTTGAAGACCAGGCTTGGAAAAAAAGGAAGGAAGAGAATGAATGGAGATACCACCATTTTTATTTTAGGTTGCATATTCTAGATAAAAGACTAGAAAGAGGATGTAGGATGTAGTATAGGAATAAGTTGGAAGAAACAATGAGATTAATAGCAAAGATGTTAGTGTGGATCCAGCAAGTACCATTAATTTAAAAATTATAAATATTTGTCATTATGCTAGGACTTCCCATATTTAGGTAGCGAAATGGATAAAGACCTTTCTTTAAAAGGTGTTTATATAACAAAAATACAATTTTCAGGATATATAATTCTGGTGGGAAGTATTATTTTATTCCAATTAAAGCTGAAAATTATTTTCTTTTTAATAAAAATAGAACTTAGAAATTAAAACCTGTACCTTACATTTAAATTACATAAATTTCTCACATTCGTAACTGTTATTAAGCAGTTTTGTAGGCTTTTAGTTAGATGCTGCCATGGCATTTTATGCCCTGGACAAAGTAGTCACATAAGTACTTGGTGACTGGAAGAGCTTAGGAGGAAGATATAAACATTATTTTCCTGAGAATTTGCTACACTGTGGAGGAAAAAGATCCCCAAAACTTGTCTTCATTGCTGGACCCAGTGAGAAAGAAGGCAATGTGTGCCAGCAGTCTCCAGCCTGCTTGGTTAGGCAGACCCCTCAGTGAGCAAGGGAACAAAAGGCCAGAGACCCAGGAGGTCAGGAAAAAGATGCAGCATGCCCCTTCCTTCTATACCAAAATGTATCTCCTGCTCATTGCTCATCCTCCATTGAAATAAAAAGCTCCATTTTAATAAAATTTGTCAAGGACTGAACACATACCACACAGAAAGGGCAAGCTGCATTTTTGTTCCATCCCTCAGAATTAACCGGTGGTGGTTAGTGGAAAGAGCTCCACAACAAAATCCCAAAATAGGAAAGAGAACGATGCTTGGTGATTGAAATTGCCCCATCAGATGATCAGCCACATATTGATCTGGTGGTTAGAAGGGCAAAGTTGACTGGCAGACTTTCCAGAGCAAATCGCCCAAGCTGTAGCAGCAGTTTCTTTCCATCATGCCTGACCATCAAAAGGTCAGAATTCAGGGTTTCTCCTTTTTCTTCCTGGGAGTGGGCAGACTTGTATGCACTTGGTATTTGTGTTGAAGAAGAAACACTGGCAGCAGATAATTCTGGTTCCTAAAACATTCTTCCCTCTTTTGTTGGATAGGAAATTCCATTCTGTTCCACATCAGCTTATGCATTGAAAATTTTGTATCTTTAAAAAAAGATTTGAGAACAGAACTGTGTTTTGATGTTAACAAATTGTACGAACACAAGACTTAAGAAATAAGAGTAGATGCTGCCATGATGGTGTGGCTACTTGAAGGCTGCAAATTCTCCTGTAGGGGGAGGACAAGAGCTAATTTTAAAAAAGTTATCCCAACCTAGAGAAAAGCCTCATTTGAACCTCACTGAAAGGTGACTCAGTTATACACAAATCTAGCAACAGCATCATTAATTTAAAAGAAAAATGGCCAAAACCCATTAAAGGACCCAACGTATATGTAGAGTATGGTTCAGTGATACCAATTAAATATCGTCTGAAGATAATTTCCCAGATGAGTTTTATGTGCTATGGTTCTGATCAGGCTGAAAACAATTACAACAAACAAAATTTCTCAGAAACTAATCGTAAAATAGTAATGTCAATTTATAGAATACTTTCCCCCTGAATTATCAACTCATTTTCACCTATCATATTATATTATTATTATTATGCTATTAGGAAGGGAGAGGAAGAAATTTTATCATTTTGCAAAAGAAAATTAGGTCAAATGATTAGTCTACATCACACATTTGACAGAGGGAAAGAAAATCCAGCCCTTCCATTTTGTATTAATTTCACCTTTCAAACTACCAAAAAATTAAATATAGGCACATGTTACTGAACATAATTATCAGCATAAGGGATTGTTTAAACCACAAAGTCCCTTTGAGGTACCACACTCCTTTAATTACTGAATTTGGGGGCCTCAAAATTATTTTACCTTTACTATTTTGTCCACGGCCTCTACTTGTAATTAAAGGCCAGTTCCTATAATATACATGCTAGTTAATTTCTGGGGGCTGGTTAATAACTAACAACTATCAGAACTTGTCATCCGTAACATCATTTTTCAATAGCAGCTTCTGATGAGGACCCAAGCAACCGCTTATAAGGATTCACTATTTAACCTAGTAATAATCTATCCAATTTCTAATTGTTATTAATTCCAATTGGTTGCTAGATAACATTGGCATGTCCCAACAAACAACAGATTGATAATGACTGGCTGACTGAATTCTCAGATTTGTAAGCTGATAACATTAGTGACTGTCTGGGTGCCTGACATATGCTAGGCACCTCACTGAACACCTTAGACATATTTGCATCTGATCCTTATGATAACCCTCTGAGGTGGATGCTATTATATTTATTACATAGATGAGCAAGCTGGGCTTTAGAGTGGTCAAGTTACTTGCCCGGGATCATACAGCTAGAAAATGGCAGAGCCAGAATGGGAACTTAGGTGCTGGCTCCAAGACCCAGGAGCCCTTAAAGTGTCAATAATTAATAATTTATTTTCCTACTCTGAATACAACTATTAACTGTAGTAAGTCCCTTTCTGACTTTGTGATGACCTTTCAGGCAGTTTCAAAAGAATGAGAAACATTTTAGCATACATATATTAGGCTTCTTAAATTTTTTGAGAAATAGTCACAGGAGAAATAAGATATAGTAAAATAAAAAGTGCTATCGAAATGTTCAATAATTCTCAATCAAGTAAGACTATAACTGATGAAATGTTTTAGTCATGAAGTACTTGTTTCATAATATAAAAAAAAAAACCAGATAATTTCCTTAAATTGAGAGTGACCCACTAGAAAGAAAGGCCATTTAAGCTGGTGTGTTAAGAAGTTTTAGAGAGGATGATTTAAACTGTTGGTTTAGTATTTAAATGGCAAGTGTAATACCTGAAAATAAACAAACCTACAGTATTTGATTGAACCCTGTGATCCCTAAACTATTTAAAAATCAAGAAGACAAATCTTATTCCTCATGATTAACTAGTAAAACTTAAAATGTAAAACAAATTTTATAATAAGGCTTTTGCCTCCTGAAGAAGGAAGTCAACTTTAATAAAAAAAATATATAAGGGCTCAGGTTTTAGGAAAGCGGCAGTCATAAGAGAATGAATGTCCTTCTGTTGCAATTACCTAGTCTAAAAGGTAATTGGTTTTTAAAAATCACGATTTTCTTTATTTGGAGAATATATTTAAAATTCAGTATAAAAAAATCAACAAAAAAACCAGAAAGGGAAACTGACTTAATTCTACTACTTCCCACTTCTCTGGATCCATGTTATCTAAATGTGTCATCTGTCACTTATTTTTTCTTTTTTTAAAAATATATGTTTAGAGATGGGGTTTTGCTCTGTCACCCAGGCTGGAGTGCAGTGGCATGATCATAAGCTCACTGTATTCTCCAACTCCTGAGCTCAAGTGATCCTCCTGGCTTCAGCCTCCTAACTAGCTGGGGGAATGGGCGCCTGCCAACATGCCTAATTTTTAAATTTTTTGTAGAGACCGATCTCACTATGTTGCCCAGGTTGGTCTCAAACTTCTGGGCTCAGGTTGGTCTCAAACTTCTGGGCTCAAGAGATCCTCCCACCTCAGCCTCCCAAAGTGCTGAGATTAGAGGTGTGAGCCACTATGCCCAGCCGACATGTCATATTTTCTATGTTCATTCAATAACATTTCCAACTGGGCTCAATTTGGAAGGGGGAGTAGAATTACTGTGTGATCCTATGGAGGCAAGTTCTAGTATCTATGGATAGCACAATGCATTTCTGAGCAGCTCTACAGAGTTTAGCCATGCCCTCTGCCAAAGGAGACAAAGAAAGAAAGGAAAGGAGTCAAATGCAGATAGCTGGATAGCTGGGGAGTAGGCAGGACAGCATATTGAGGGGAAAACAAGTGAACAATGAAAGGAAGATAAAAATGAGGCAGGTATACTGGGAAATTATAGAAAAAGCTGTATCACTAAAATGATCCTTTGACCTTTGTGCTTCAAAATGCCCAAACTCTTTGAGCATTCGATAAAGTCAATTTTATAAAAACTTTGTCAGCTACATGCCTGCTATTTTATTTGTGAATAAATAAAACCTCATCTAACAATTACTAATAATCATATCTTTAGCATCACTGGAGGATTCAGAAATCATACATTTTGATACATTCTAATATGTTACATTCTTTTATCCCTTTCTTATTCTCATTTTTTTAAATATGAGAAATATTCTTTTTCACTATCTTACCAAAATTGAAAGTAATCAATTATTTCTGAAATCACAACAGCATTACTTATCTTAAGTTCCCTAAATGAGGGGCCAAAGGTTTGCCATAATTATTACTAAGTGGTTTGCCTGTATGAAATCTAACTATTCAAATAAAGAAGATGTTTCAAAAATGTATCTGTGGTACTTAAAAACTAATTTAAAAGTCTTCCCAATTTTCTTCTTTATTGACTTCAAAGAAGAATGCAGATGCTGCCTGCTTCCTGGAAAAAGAATTGTTGCTGTATTTAAAAATCATGACAAATCCAAATTGAGTAAGTGAAGATGTAGTTAAGAGGCTGGCTTTGGTTCCCAGGCTGACTATTAAGTAGAGATGGCAGCATCTTTGTTAGGACCAAAACAATGCTGTGCTTTTACTTTTGATCTCTTTGAATTGCAGTAAGAATACACTGACTGCCACATTACAGTCATTTTGTTTTTCTTTTTTTTTTTTGAGACAGAGTCTCATTCTGTTGCCCAGGCTAGAGTGCCATGGCATCATCCTAGCTCACAGCAACCTTGAACTCCTGGGCTCAAGCGATCCTCCTGCCTCAGCCTCCCGAGTAGCAGGCATTACAGGCATGCGCCACCATGCCTGGCTAATTTATATATATATGTATGTGTATATTTTTAGTTGTCCAGCTATTTTCTTTCTTTTTTTAGTAAAGATAGGGTCTTGCTCTTGCTCAGGCTGGTCTCGAACTCCTGAGCTCAAACGATCCACCCTGTCTTGGCCTCCCGGAGTGCTAGGATTACAGGCGTGAGCCACCACGCTCAGCCAACAGTCATTTTCTACACAGCAGAGTGTAAGCGTTAGAGAGTGCTAATAAATACTTCACACTATAGAATACAAAACAGAGAGCAGCATTCATTCATCATAAGCAGAATCTCGCTCAGCGAAGAGTAAAAGACAGAAATTTTATGAGATACAATGATAAGGTGATTGCTAAAATATGTACCACGACAGGTAAGTAAAGTAATAACAACTTTTGAAAAATCTATTACCTGGTTGTTTAGCAACCAGAGTTATCTAATAGAGAAACAAACCTGAAAGTTCTCACAGAATTCTATAAAGTTGTTTTGTGTGTGTGTGTGTTAAGGTAGAAATGCATTTTCAAGAAAATTTGACTTCTGCACATGGAAGACATTCTTAATATATAAAGAAATATTATTTAAAATGAACTCTAATTTATAACATTTTCCCACTAAATCCCAAAGTTAAATCATTTTACTCATGCCAAATGTGCCACTCCCCTGCAATATCTTTGGTTACTCATACCCACAATTTATAAAAAGAAATTCAGTCTACTGTTTCAAGGAAATAAAGGATATCCTAATTTTCCAAGTTTTAGTAAAAAGAAACAGTTATAGAAAAAATGTTGAGAATAACAATAGGATTATACAATTCTAGTGACTTCCTAAATTAGATCTGTTCAGTTTGCCTTATCTAACTCAGGCCAACTTCCCACCTGCAAACACACACAGGAGTATTTTTCCTCTGGAGTTCCTAATGGACATGTGACAGCTAATAACAAAAGTTGCATGAGAAAACTGAAAGAGAAAACTGAAGTTTAATAATTAAAATAACCAAGTAAACAAAACAAACTTGGAACAGGAAGTAAAGCCTCTAGAAGAGGCACTGCCACTTTTAGCAATGTTTGTGTATTTCAACCCTTCAATGTTGAAAATCCAATGTTAAGTATGAATTTTAGATTGGGAAAAAACTATATCTAGTCCTTAAACACACAAGTGTTCTTTGGTTTACCTTAAAAAAAAAGAATATTCTATTCAATTTAATATATACGCAAACATAGGTTCATTTTTTCCCTTTTGTTGCTACTCTCCTGTACTTTCTTAATCATTTAATTTGTTTCAGTGGACAGGAAACGCACCATATCCCCCTGCCTGGATGGGTGTTTTTGGAGAAGCACAAGCATATAGACTAAAATCCTCTGTTTGGAAACCAGCCCGATTCAAGGAGGGTTCTGATGCACTGCGGTGAATTTTTGGCAATGAGCGGGCCAGCAGCTCAATAGAGGCGAGAATCTACAAAAACAAAAAGAAACAGAAGAAAAAAAAAAAAAAAGAAAAAGAAAAAGAAAAAACAGAAAGAATGAAAATCTGGGTGGTGTAAATCTTTGAAAGTCCCATCATACTTTACAAGAAAGCACCTGAAATCTTACACAGTTCTCAGTATTATAAATACTTAGAAAAATATTTACAAAGAAACTGATATTTTCTTAAAAAAAAAACAAAACTACCAAACTACTACAGTTTTTATCTCTATAAATTGAATGGGGAAAGCAACTCATACTTAGCTTTTGTTTACATTTTTAGATCGTTTGCCAGCCTTGAAACAGTAAATAATGAAAATTTAAAACCAATTATATAACCTATTTGTCACAGACTGCATGTCCCTTTTGGGAAGAAGATGGGAGTATAAATAAAGCACTATATGATCATCTTTAAACAGAACTATCAGCAACTCACCCTTTTTTTTAAATCTTTTTTTTAGCAACTCACCCTTTAAAGAAATTTAGCAATGGGAATGTCTTATATACACCTAATTAAAAGCAGAACCCCACTAACTCAGACTGCTAGGGGCACACATAAGAAGTGACAGGTGACAACCTAAGAGCTGAAGACAAGAGAACTGTATAAATAGCACCAATATACAAAACATCAAATTCACATATTTTAAGGTACAAAGAAACAGGTTATGTATGACCCTTGAAGGCATACAGCATGATAATGCATGTTCATAATCATGACACATGTTAAAGGGCCCAGCATAATGCCTGGCATATGGAAAGTAGTACTCAGTAAAACTTTAGTAGCCATTATTATTACTTTTTTTTTTTTTATTTATTTTTTTATTTTTATTTATTTATTTTTTTTGAGACAGAGTCTCGCTTTGTTGCCCAGGCTAGAGTGAGTGCCGTGGCGTCAGCCTAGCTCACAGCAACCTCAAACTCCTGGGCTCGAGTGATCCTTCTGCCTCAGCCTCCCGGGTAGCTGGGACTACAGGCATGAGCCACCATGCCCGGCTAATTTTTTATATATATATCAGTTGGCCAATTAATTTCTTTCTATTGATAGTAGAGACGGGGTCTCGCTCTTGCTCAGGCTGGTTTTGAACTCCTGACCTCGAGCAATCCGCCCGCCTCGGCCTCCCAAGAGCTAGGATTACAGGCGTGAGCCACAGCGCCCGGCCTTATTATTACTTTTGTTATTGCCCTGAGCTACCAAAACTTTTAAGTTAAACTATAATCTTTATAATGATTAATATAAGAAGACAGAGAAGCAAGCAATGTTACAAATATTTTTAAATTCCAAGCATAGCATGTGATAAAAATTCAAATAATATAGAAACTTATAAAGTAAGAAGTATAAGGCTCTTGAATCCCATCCTCCAGGGGTAACCACTGTTAAGAGTTTATACTTTCTTCTGGACCTTTTCTATGCACATATGAAAACAGAGACCATCACGCCACCTTTTAAAGTGGTAGCATACTACATATATTTTTTCTGCATTGTTTTCCTTTTCCCTCATCAATATCCATGCCATCTATACAGAGCTACCTTAGTCTCTGATTTTTCCTATCATAGCAAACATTCTTATACATACTTGAATACTTATGGAAGTAGGTTCTGTAGAACAGATTTTTTGGAGTATTTTAAATTTATGGATCAAGTCCTTCCAATTTACATTCCCATCGACACTTTAAAATTTACAAAGAATGTTCTTCCTCTCCTCCCATCACTGTTTCCAGCGCTAGATATGGCCAATCTGAGAGGCAAAATTAAAATGTATTTCCCTGTTGTATGACTTTGCCTTTTACTGACTGCTACTAAAATCTTTTCACCATTTCCTAAGTACATTCACCATTTGCATTTCTTTTGTGAATCATCTGTCCATATCCTTTTTGCCCATTTTCTATTGATTATCTTTCACTTTTTGATTTGTAGAAGTCCTCTGTATCCTACAAATATTTACTCTTTGTTATGTATGCTACAATTATTTTTCTCTTCATTCATCTTTCAGTGTTTTTTTTTTTTTTTTTTGAGACAGAGTCTCACTTTGTTGCCCAGGCTAGAGTGAGTGTCATGGCATCAGCCTAGCTCACAGCAACCTCAAATTCCTGGGCTCAAGCAATCCTGATGCCTCAGGCTCCCGAGTAGCTGGGACTATAGGCATGCGCCACCATGCCCGGCTAATTTCTTTGTATTTTTTTTTTTTTTTTTTTTGAGACAGAGTCTCACTTTGTTGCCCAGGCTAGAGTGAGTGCCATGGCGTCAGCCTAGCTCACAGCAACCTCAAACTCCTGGGCTCAGGCGATCCTCCTGTCTCAGCCTCCCAAGTAGCTGGGACTACAGGCATGTGCCACTATGCCCGGCTAATTTTTTTGTATATATATTTTTAATTGTCCAATTAATTTCTTTCTATTTTTAGTAGAGACAGGGTCTTGCTCAGGCTGGTTTATGTATTTTTATTAGAGACGGGGTCTCGCTCTTGCTCAGGCTGGTTTTGAACTCCTGACCTTGAGCAATCCTCCCGCCTCGGCCTCACAGAGTGCTAGGATTATAGGGTGAGCCACCACGCCCGGCCATTCAGTGTTACTTTTACTATATAAAAGTTAAGAAATGTTAGTGTAGTAATATCTGCTAATCTTTTCCTTCATAACTTCTGGATTTTGTCTCTTGTCTTAGCAAAGCCTTTCCTACCTCAAGACTATAAAAATAATCTCATATTTTACAGTTGTGTTTTTTACATATAGATCTTTAGCTATTTAAAACTTATGTGCCACATTAATAGTATGGTATGAAATGATATCTTGTAATGAAAATTTAACAATAGTACATAAAAGAGGTAGCCTCACATAATCTGAAAAATTCATATATGCATTTCATTTTTGATACCATGCAATTAATGAAATGTTATATTTAGAAGTATGAAGATTTTGCTCCTTTTAATATCATTTAAAAAGTGGACCTAAGGATGTAATTTGCATTATTTATATAAATCAAACATGCCAAATAAAAAAATCCTAGCACCTGGGATGTGGAAAGAGAATACTGTACAAGGTCATACTGACATGGTCAACAACACTGGCCTTTCACTGGAATAGTCTCAAACCAGAGGTTTTCTGAGTAAAAAACAAAAAAACAAAAACTCTTCCTCAAAGGAATAGTAACTGAGAATTCCAATATATAAAACATTTACCTATCCACTCAACATTTAGCCTCTCTATTCCTCTCTGACGCAACCCCAAGAGACTTGTTAAAAACATCAATTTGACTGGGTGCAGTGGCTCATGCCTGTAATCCCTGCACTATGGGAGCCCAAGGCAGGAAGACTGCTTGAGGCCAGGAGTTCAAGACCAGTCTAGGAAACATAGCAAGACCCCATCTCTAAAAATAAACAAATAAATTAGCCAGGCATGGTGGTGAGTGCCTGTAGTCCCAGCTATTTGGGAGGCTGAGATGGGAGGATCATTTAACCCCAGGAGCTCAACGCTGCAATGAGCTACGATTGCACTCAGCCTGGGCAACAGAGCAAGACCCTGTCTCTTAAATTAAAAAACAAAACAAATGAAAAAAACCCCAAACAACCCAAAGCCATAAATTTTATCTTCTTTACTTCTTCAGAAAAAAATAAAAAAATGTTTTAGATAAAAAATAAAGGATGAATGAATCTCATTCTTATAGTAGTAACTTCTAAGTAACTCAAGTAGGACTGGATAGTCAAAGGCATAAGGGTTCACAAAAAAGAAGATCTTAGTAATTATGGTGGGAGAGTAACTATGGAAGTCAGAATTTCCCACTTGAAACTACTGATTTATCAAGGCATATTTATATAGTGCTATCAAGAACTTCCTAAGCTTCAGAAAACACTGCATTTATATTACAGTATCTACTATAGATAAACTATAAGCTTGTTGAGGCACTTAGTTTCAGTTCTTTGTAGGGCTTATTAACTTAAGGGCTGTTGCCTAACAACATGAAAAGATAAAAGGCAAAGAAAGTTATCAAGAATGAGAGAAAGGCTGGCTGAGCCGACAGTTGCCTTTTCTTTTTTTTTTTGAGACAGAGTCTCACTTTGTTGCCCGGGCTAGAGTGAGTGCCGTGGCGTCAGCCTAGCTCACAGCAACCTCAAACTCCTGGGCTCGAGTGATCCTTCTGCCTCAGCCTCCCGGGTAGCTGGGACTACAGGCATGCGCCACCATGCCCGCTAATTTTATATATATATCAGTTGGCCAATTAATTTCTTTCTATTTATAGTAGAGACGGGGTCTCGCTCAGGCTGGTTTTGAACTCCTGACCTTGAGCAACCCGCCTGCCTCGGCCTCCCAAGAGCTAGGATTACAGGCGTGAGCCACAGCGCCCGGCCTTGCCTTTTCTTTTTGCCTTACGTGGAAATGCTCCTCAAAAAGACCTAGTTAAAGGGAAGCTTGGCATGTTTATTTTACCATTAAGAAGAATTAAAGCAGTGGTTCATGAAGTTTGGTCTGTGGATGTCTAAGGGGTCCACAAGGTCAAAACTATTTTCATAAATAACAATGAGATATTATTTATCCTTTTTACTGTCATTATTTTACAAGTGGAGTTTTCAGAGGTGACGTGATGTGACATATTGCAACAAAATAAGTACAAAAGCAGAGAATCCAGTTGTCTTTTTTTGCAAAAAATGTAAAATAATATAACTCTTCTCACTATTTTTTTTGTTTTGGATAATATAATTATTTTATCTAAATGTTATTTAACTTGTTAGTTTTATTATGTTTAAATAAATTCATAAATATTTTTAAAACATAGTTTTAATTTCTAACATAGCAATTATTATTTACATAAACATAAGTTCTTTGGAAGTGGTCTTCAATAATTTTTAAATGTGGAAAAGAGTTCACAGACCAATAAGTTTGAGAACTACTAGACAAATGTAAAGTCTTTCTGAATATTTTGTATTGGGACCCCAAATTTCCAGGTGAACCACTGCTTAACCTTTACAAAATCATCTTCATGTGTTTGCTTGTTTGTAGTCAGCACATGGACTCCAAACTCATGAAATACAAACTATGTGCCTAAAAAAGTGCTCATAAATCTGCCTTTGAATGTTAGTTTATTCTTTTAGGTAGAATGAAGATTTTTCTTACTTGGGGAAAGAGTGGTCTTTCATCTCTTTTCTTTTTGAGGCACTCTGCCATTAATCTCTTCATGGCTTTTGGACAGTTACTCCGTACCTTACTGAGATCTGGAGATAAGTATCCTCGTCCCACCATAAAAATTATCTGGAGAAGGAAAAAAAAGGCAAATCATAAACCTTATAGATAAGTATACTCATGATGTGTATTTTCCTATATATATATATAAATACACGTCAATAAAAAGTTTAAATAAACACTAGTATTTGGATTTCTATACATCATAGACTGTGAGGAGTGCACACTTACTGAGCTGGCAACTCAACCCTTAGGACCCCCAACTCAACTCAACAGGACCCTCAGGAATTGTGCAAAGATCTCCTAACTGCTCCCAGTGCTCCTGCGCTTCCAGTCCCACCTCATCCAGTCCATTTCCTACTGACAGGGCAATCTTTAGAAAGCAGAGCTGATACTGACTCTTTTTTACTTAAAAAAATAATAATAATTTATTGAGCATTTCTTGTTGTTGGACATCATGGTAAGTAAGTCCTTATGTGTAGCAGAAACCAAAAAAGTTAACCTTTTTAGCAGTCATTCTGGCATCTGCATTTTAAGCCCTTTTGTTGTCTCACTATTTGAGTCTCACTTTGTTGCCCAGGCTAGAGTGAGTGCCGTGGCATCAGCCTAGCTCACAGCAACCTCAAACTCCTAGGCTCAAGTGATCCTGATGCCTCAGCCTCCCGAGTAGCTGGGACTACAGGCATGTGCCACCATGCCCGGCTAGTTTTTTCTATATATATTAGCTGGCCAATTAATTTCTTTCTATTTATAGTAGAGACGGGGTCTCGCTCAGGTTGGTTTCGAACTCTTGCACTCAAACGATTCGCCCGCCTCGGCCTCCCAGGGAGCTAGGATTATAGGTGTGAGCCACCGCGCATGGCCTGTAGAAACTTTAATGGGGCATTTGGCCATACAAAACTGAGAACCAGAGCCTCCTCCAGAGGAGAGGAGCTAAAATCTTCTGTTTAATAAAGTAAAAAGGCTGTCTTCTCTGGGTACAGAGATTTATATTATTTTAATTTCTTAATTTTCTAAATTTTGGGTTCTTTTGAGGGTGAGCAGAGACAGATGTTCAGAATCTTGGGACTCAGGAAAGAGAGGGTCTGAGAGAGGAGGTTTTGATCTGAGAGGGAACAGGTCCAATACGGGCAGATTAGAGGCAAAGGTGGAGGAAGCCAGGAAGAGATCCCTGTTACAGGGTAGAACTGATGAATTTTGGGAACAGTCAATTTCCTTATGTTATTTCCTGTTAGGTGCTATAATGACCCTTGTTTAACGATGAACAAAAAACTTTAGTAAAGCTTTGAATGCAATATGGTCTCTATGGTACAGGTTACAATGACAAAGCTTGGGAAGATGGAATGAGATATTCTGGGGAGTATGGTTTTCTTCTGCACTGCCCGTTTCTGAAGCCATGCAATCCTAACATCATCATTTTTTTTTTTTTTCTTTTTTTTTTTTTATTACGCTTCTCACAGCCTGGGAACTAACATCATCATTTTAATGGAGTACAGCAGTCTTATTATTCTAGGAGTAACCTGGAATAATACCTTGGAGCAACAGGTGACAAGCAACAACCAAGAGAATGTAAAGCACTTCCAAGGGGGTCTTCAAAGTTGAAAGAAAGGGTCTGGACTGCCTATATTGTCTTATAGGCCAGCAATTCAGATATGTTTACTTGGCTATCAATGGAAAAAGTAGCCCTGAAAGGCCAAAGAACTTTGGGACATTTGGATTGTAGATGTCATCCAATTTAATGCTCAAAATAATTCTAGTAGGTCAGTATTTATCCCATTTTACAGATAAGGAATCCAAAGCTTCAACAAATTAGCTTGCCCAAGATAATAGAGCTATTAATATAAAAGTGACAAAGAGGATTTAGAGAGATCATTCCAATACAAATCTGCTCTTAACCACTTTTATATTACCTCTGCTCTTCCTCAACTTGCAATGCCCTCCCTAACCCTATTCTCTAGCTATCTGAAATCCAGAGGAATCAAGGCCTAACTGAAAGCTCACCATGCTTACCATACTTTTCCTTTCACACCTACAAGTATCCTCCTTCCCACCACCAGCTGTGATGATCATCTACTGCCTTGAATGGTTATTAATCTTTTTGTAATATGTATGTTATCTAAGTTCCCCAGTGAGACTATGGGTATTTGTAGAGCAGGGACTGTGACTCATATGTATTTTTTTTTCAATCTTCTTTTAAAAAAATCTATAAACAACTCTGCCTCCAGTATTTAACATAACCTTTTCTGGACATGAAAGGCTTTCAATGTTTAACAACTCATTAGGGTGAATGATAAATATTCGCTAATTGATTAGCCATGTCATATACCTGTGGTTTGCAAACCAGGGTAAAGTATCCCTGGAGTTACATGAAGATTTCACCAGAGGCATATAGATAGGGTAGTTTTAAGGGAATTAATTTCTACATCGTCAACTTACCAATATACCCCTTCAAACAACTGATTTGCTGGAGAATCGCTCAAGCGGTGATGTAAAGCTTCTCCTCCTTTCCCATCTCTCCTGCTGTAACTGTCCTGCTCCCACTTTACAAAAGGCACACCTTTTACTCATATGAAATCTTAACTATAGTAAACCACTGGGGCATCAAAGGGAGATTTCCAAATATTGGTGTCTAACTGGGCTCTAATGAATGGGTAACAAATCCCTTTGCAAGTCAGTTGGTCTCCAGTTGTTTGCTTTCAACAAAATTAGTTGATCTTGAATTCCTGGCCTCAAGTAATCCTCCCATCTCTGCCTCCCAAAGTGCTAGGATTACATGTGTGGGCCACTGTGCCTGGCCCCTCAAAATTAATTAAAATGTCAGCTGATCATTAAAAAAAATCTTAATGACAAGTTACTATGTAATTTTTGGTACATTATATGAGTTCTAATAACTGAGTGATACAGTATGTGGTAAAGAATTAACCTTGCCCAAAAAGAGGGCTGGCCTCCTTGGCTCCTGGGAGGTAATCACTAAGACCTTAAAAATGTCCTACCTGATCGGAGTGTTTGTTATCTGGAGGCCATGGGCCATGCCAGATGGTCTATGCTAACAATGTGATTTATACAGGAGGCTGTGGGGCATGTGGCATCAGCTTGACCTCTGGAGGAGCTGGAAACTTAGGTTAGCCACACAGGTGGTCAACTGTATCTATATGATTTAGCTCTAATAAAAACTCTAGACTCCAAGGCTCAAGTGTGCTTCTCTGGTTGGCAAGGGTCTATGTGTACTGTCACACATTGCTATTGGAAGAATTTAGCACTGTCTACAACTTCACTGGAAGAGGGTAACTGGAAGCTCCACACAGGAACTCTCTTGGATTCTGTCCCATTGCCATTTCTCTTGGCTAACTTTTTTTTATTTTATTTTTTTTTTTGAGACAGAGTCTCACTTTGTTGTCCAGGCTAGAGTGAGTGCCATGGCGTCAGCCTAGCTCACAGCAACCTCAAACTCCTGGGCTCAAGCGATCCTGCTGCCTCAGCCTCCCAGGTAGCTGGGACTACAGGCATGTGCCACCATGCCTGGCTAATTTTTTCTATATGTATTAGTTGGCTAATTAATTTCTTTCTATTTATAGTAGAGACGGGGTCTTGCTCTTGCTCAGGCTGGTTTCGAACTCTTGACCTCGAGCAATCCACCCGCCTTGGCTTCCCAGAGTGCTAGGATTACAGGCGTGAGCCACCGCGCCGGGACTACCTTCTATGTTTCTATATCTCAGAACTTATCTTTTTAATTAGGTATATATCAATAATTGTAACAATAACATAATTTAGAATTTAAAAAATTGACAGGGTCCAAAGTCATAAAAAATTTTTAAAAATTCTAAATTTAAATTTATAAAACATCTTTTGTTGCAGAGATGTAACTTCGGTAATCAATAAAAGGCTTTAAAGCATAAAACTATCTTACATTAGGACAAAATTCTGTGGGGAAAACAGAATACAAGTAATTTCAAGGGAAAAAAAGGAACCCTATAAAACTTCCAAAACTTAACAAAGAGCTTTTTTTTTTTTGAGACAGAGTCTCACTTTGTTGTCCAGGGTAGAGTGCCATGGCATCAGCCTAGCTCACAGCAACCTCAAACTCCTGGGCTCAAGTGATCCTCCTGCCTCAGCCTCCCGAGTAGCTGGGACTACAGGCATGCGCCACCATGCCCGGCTAATTTTTTTTACATATTTTTTTTTTTTAGTTGTTCAATTAATTTCTATGTTTAGTAAAGACGGGGTATCACTCTTGCTCAGGCTGGTTTTGAACTCCTGACCTTGAACAATCCTCCTGCCTCCGCTTCTCAAAGTGCTAGGATTACAGGCATGAGCCACCGCGCCCGGCCAGTTTTTGTAATTTTTAAACGAGTGATGGTAAATATCAAATCAGCATGGTTTTTAGGTTTTATTGGATACATTTTAAAGAGGGCTAATAGTAACCTTATTTAAAAATATTAATAGAATACACTGGAAATTACATTCTTTGCAATTATCTTTGCAAGATAAAAATATTTAGATGCCAATTTAAAAATGTATAAGGAGGTATATAGCTTTTCAAAATTCTTTTAGGAGGAATAGGAGAAAAAATTGAAGACAACCCTCATATTTTTATATGACCTACAGAATTTAGTTAGTACAAGGCACAAAGCAAGTGATCTTTAATAAACAGCTGCTGCGGTGGGTTGGGGGCTGACTAATGAAGAAACAACAAGAAGGGAAAAGGGAAAGTCTTTCCTGGATATAAATCATGGATAGAAGATTCATGTGGCACATACACTATAAGGGCAATACCTCAGTTTGAAATTCTGGGTCTTTTTATTTTCAATCTGCACTCAGCACTCCTGGCATCTCTACTTCCCCCTTCATTCACTCCTCAGCATTACTGCAGCACACGTCTGCTCGTTTTCAGTACCATCCCCAGTACTGTCTCAACAGAACTGTCACCATGCTGCAAGCAGAGCCTGTGCTTTGTTCTCTTCATCTGTGAATCCCTCTATATTCCACAGTGCTTTGTATATAGCAGGTACTGAAAACATTTTCTATTAAAATAATTTGCCTGTTGATAAGACACTGGTATGTATTTCCTGTTTCTTGAGATATTGTGCTCAGAATCCAGACACTATGCTATGAGAAAACCCAAGCAGCCTATGAAGATGTCCTTATGGAAAGGTCCATGTGGAGAACTGAGGCCCCTGACCCTTGGCCATGACTGAGCTTCTAGCTGACAGCTAGCACCAATTTGCCAGGTAGGTGAATGAGCCATGTTGGAGAAGACTGTTTTAACACAATGTCTAGCTACTCCAGTCAGTACCATGTAAAACAGATATGAACCTTCCTCATGGGAGGGCAGCCCAAACTGCAAATTCATATTAATAATTTGTTTTAAGCTACTACATTCTGGGTGGTTGGTTATGCAGCAATAATAACTGGAATACATTTATAATAACAGACATATGTTACCTATTATTTTCTTTTTAGAAGACATAGCACTTCTGCTCCAAGAAAGGAAAACCATGAGGGTATAGTCAATATATCTAGCTTAAATAAGCACATTATTAATCCCAACTTAGAGAAGCTGCAGTGAAAGAGGGAAGAAGAGGGTGATTAGAGAGGAAAATACTGGAATTATAAAGAGGGGTACAAATGACAAAGTGATTTCCCAAACTTCCAACACTAGGGTAAGTTAAGGTAAAAAGGGAATACTACTTCGTGAAGTAATATAGAGATGGTCATCCTTCAAAGAGCTAAGAGATCTATTTTAGGAAAGACCTGATTTTTAGAACTAGAAGAAATTCTTCAGTCTAATTATCTTATTTTTATAATTGAAAAAAAAAAAGATACATAGAGAAGTAAGGTGACCCTGTCATGAGGGTCTTGAGTCCAAGGCCTGCCATTACATTACACTGCTTTACCAGAGCCCTGCTTTTAATTTACAGTCAAAACCTGCCACCTCAGACTATGGGGTTGAGTGTAGAGGGGAATGGTATCTACACGGTATAGTAAGGAATATTTTCGGATTCTTAAACAGAAATTTAATCTGAGAGCCATGGAGATCAAAGTGTAAGAGAAAGAAAAGAAAAGATCAAATCAAGGGGATGGATGAAGCAATACCTGGGATTATTTCATTGAGGATAATCAGAGTCATCCTTTCAAAATGTGGAGTTAAAGGGAAAGTATCATTTGGCGAAAGCAGACTAAAGGGTAATGAAACAGAATAGGGGTAGTGAGAAGAGGATATCATTCTTTTACCCTTCTTCTCCATCAAATACTTAACTTCATTTCAGACTGGCAAATTCCAGAAGGATCTAACTATACTACTAGAAAGAATTAACTAGTAAAGGCCTTACCCTTCTGCTGGTCACTCACTCCTCTCATGGAGAGTAAGCCCTTGCCACATCATTTATTATACTCCCATGAAGGACAAAGCACCTAAAATGCCAAGAAGTGGATGAGTGCAGAACTCTGGGATGCTTTTATCCACATTTTGGAGATAATAATACTTGTTTCCGTATTAAATTATACTTTTATTATTGTATTAAAATAAACTTGTTCACTGACAAATGGATTTCATCAAGATTTTAGGTTCATTAAAATTTATATTAACTTGTAGTCTCTATAATAAATCAACTAAACTAAAGATCCCTAGTAATTTTTCCAGACAAATAATATGCACAGGAAAGGTGAACATGGCACAGGTTTTATGCTGTACCATCGAATTAATAAGACTGTAAAAGGCAGAGCACAGGAAGCACGCAAATTAGAGACAATTTTGCTACTCAGACTGCCATTATCAAATCAATCATCTCAGTGATCTAGATCTGACACAAGTGCAGTAAGTGCAATGCCTCACTTATGTTCTTTAGCTAATATTTCGGTCTACCCTGAATCTAAGTCTCATGTAGGCTTAAAATATCAGATAATTAAAACTGAAGTCATATGTTGTTTAACACGCAAAGCCAAAACTCAACATTCTAAAGCTATGAAGTAGTTAGAAAGTTCAACAGCAACTAAAAATTTAGTTTCATGATGAAATGGGAAGAAATGTAGCCATTTAAAAACATCCTCAAAACACAAATCAAGACCACTGCTGGGTAAGGGCCATATGGTGATTCAATAAGTATACACAAAATACATGATAACTTAGATTACTCCTCTGATATCACATGATAGCTGAAGAGAGAAAGATATAGAGATGTCACCAAAAAGACTGAGAGTTGAGCTACTGACCAAAACAAACATATCCCTTAAATGACACAACACATTTATACACAAAAACCATCATTTCATTAGGTTAGGAAGTTATGAGGAAATACATATAAAGATCACACTTTAAAAAATTTCTTTGGACTGGTGATTCTCAACTTTGGTATGTATCAGAATCACCTGGGAAACCTAAGAAATGCAGGTAGCTTGGACCCCATCCTAACGAGTCAGAATCTGCTACAGCATCTCCATTTTTTAAAACAAATTTCCCAGGTGATTCCGATGCAAATCCCAGTATAAAGTCTAAAGATTCTTTAATTGCAGTTTATGTGGTCAACTATTGTTTTCTAATGAAGATTAACTGCCGTAATCTCTCTCTGTCCCTCTACACACATGTACACTTAAATGTTCAGGTATTATTCAAGGTACTTTTAGTAAAGACAACTCACTTTTCTTGGCCAGTTTTAAAAGCCTAAGTGAGTTTAATGTGGCTGAGATAGAAAAGGCTAAGAGCTCCATGATATTACATCGGTACCTTTTGGAAGGTAAGGGACAGAGAAAAGGAACTTAGGAAGGAAAGATGTAAAAAATTATCCTCCTACTAGAATTCTAATTATAGAAAAATCAAAACATGATGTAATATTCTTTCCATTTACCTAATTTTAAAAATTAAAAAACATGAAGAAACCTTAATAATTTTAAAAGAATTTGATATAAAGAAATCCATAACTGAGTACCTGCTCTGATAGCATAATCTGTGATAGAATAAAAGGTATAAAGTCCAGATGCTATAATAGCAGAGTCATTCATCTTATAGTGCTATGGTCAAGAAACCTGAGGTATATCCATTGCTGTATCTTTAAAAAATCAGGAATTTCACTCCAGTGTAACATTTAAGACTCCTTTTTTTTTTTTTTTTGAGACAGGGCCTTGCTCTGTTGCTTTGGCTAGAGTGCAGTGGCATCATCATAGCTCACTGCAACCTCAAACTCCTGGGCTCAAGGGATCCTCCTGCCTCAGTGTCCCAAGTAGCTGGGACTATAGGTGCACGCCACCACACTTGGCTAATTTTTTAAAAAATGTTTTGTAAAGAAAGAGTCTTGCTGTGTTGCCCAAGCTGGTCTTGAACTCTTGGCCTCAAATGATCCTCCTGCCTTGGCCTCCCAAAGTGCTAGAATTATAGGCATGAGCCAATGACTGATATTTTAAGGAAAGGCCATAAATAGGCTGCTATTATTGTCAAAAGTGTACAGAAGATTTCCAAAACTTGGTAACAGTAAGATCAAGAAATCTACCCTTCATGCTTACCCAGGACTCAACACTTCTTTTCTACAACTAACCAGAGCCTTTATACAAATTGTAAAATAAACCCAAAGAGATGGTAAATATTTACCTGGTCCCTGTTGTTGATATTTGAATAAGGTAACTGTCCAGTCATCAATTCATACAGAACTATCCCAAAAGCATACACATCTGACTGAAAGCTGTATGGGTTTTTATCTTGCATTCTGATTACTTCTGGTGCCTGTTAGAAAATAAAAAGAAAAATATTCTAGTTTATTCTTCAATTTAACTGAATAAAGACTGAAAAACAAACTATTAAAATTCCCAGAGCAATGCTTTTATCATTAAAAAAAATCTATCTAACATGTAATTAATTCTCTTATTAATGGTCAAAGATTAAGAATGAAGAAAGATGAAGAACACAAACAAACAAACCCTGCTCTATAAACTCAGAAAGAGGCAGTTTTAGCTGAGATTCCCTAATGCATTACTAAGATTTTATAATTTTATCAGCCACCCTCTTTCTATACAAAATACCATCACTGCCATTTGAATTCTTCCCATGACTTACCCTATTAGAATCACTTCCCACTTCCCAATCCTGATTCAGCAAAGAAATACTAAACTGTGGTTATAAGATGCTTGTGAGCAGCACAACTACTGTAGTAATTGTTTTAGAATTTAAGTTTTCCCATTGGTACAAATGATTTTCCTCATCTCAGGGCACCTTAGAAAATAATGGCAGAATTTCAAGAATGATAAACTCAAATCCTCTTCCATGCCATGGAATAAGCATATGATAATAAACATGCCATGCATGGATGCTTTAACAAAGGCAACAGATAGCAGGTAGATACAGAAGATGGTAAAGAATCCTTTGGCTGCTGCTTCTTGGACAATGAAACAGATTGAATCATATTTCCTACATTTTTATACACTTCCATCACTGTATTGCACAAATAGATTTATTATTTATATGAAGTACAGTAAATGGTTGATTAAATATTAGCTTAAAAGACTTGTTCTTTCACCTTGCATCTTCTGTATTGTTTCATTTGGAAGGGATTCAAACTGCAGTATCTTAATGAAAACTTTGTGAAAATATCAATCAGATAGCAAACACAGTACTAACTGCAAAAATGGCTGAAAGACAATGGGACAAGATTCCTGGTTATTGGTCTGGGTAAGGCAGGCATCTCACAAGGAGAGGCAATAGAGGTGCTCAGCAGCACCTGCAAATCAGAATCACTGTGCCTCTCAATGCCCAGACTACACTCCAGCCCAATAATATAATAGAATCTGGGTTGGGACCCAAACATTACTAGTCTTTAACGCTCCCCAAATGATTCTAATATCCAACTAAAGTTGAGAACCACTGATGGGAGATCCTGAAGAGAGTGAGATGATGGGGATGAAGAAGAAGGTTGTATTAATATTTACTTGCTTTTGTCATACATTTTGTTGATAATTGCTTTAAGTAAGACAGTACAAAATAAGCCATATACAACTGTGATGTAATAAACAAGCCAGGATACTGAGAGGCTGGTTATCATAAAGATGCAATTTTCAAAGCTTGAACCAATTTTTGTGAGGGACAGAGTATAAATGAGATGAAGAACTGTCTTTTTAAAATTTAGTTTTATCTCACTGTTGTTGGTAGACAGGCTTGATAAAAAGTTGCATGTCACCTATTTATAAAAAATGCATTACTAATTCTCAATTTAGTGATCTGATTTATAAAAAATTTCACAAAGGTTTCTTTCTCCAAGATATAAATAAAACACAGTTGAGAAGTCTGTTGTAAATAATTCAGAGGACCACATAACCCTAGTTTTGACCAAACTTTTCTCTCCTAATCCATGGATGTTCCATGTTTGTTTCTGAAGGCAGTATCAACCCAAGTTTTAGTTAACAATGAAGGGTAGGTACTATTAGTTATTCTCTTGTCTTTAAAACTCACCACGGTGGAATAAAGGATACACCCATCTATGCATGTATCAACAAAAAAGTAACTAGAAGAAAATATAAAACTTTGTGTATATAATCTTCTAACTGCATAAACTAAGGTTTTTGAAAATGGACAAACCTGAAGACTTAATTGAGCCTAACTCTCTCACAATAGATAAAATGAACACACCTTTAAAACAAAAACTGTTTCTTTATAATTTTAGGTTTTGCAATTTCAGCACTTAAAATCTGTTTTCCTTCATTCTTAGGGCACACTGCCATCATTGTCACAAATGTGTGCCTTAAATGTGCCTGAGATCCAGATTACAATTATTAGCTTTTCATATATAATTATTAAAATAGTTAAACATAGATTAATGAATGAAAAAAAAATCTAGCTAACTCCAGTTACTGAATCTTAGAAATAGAAAGGGCATTAGTAATCCACTAGTCCAACCCAACATTTCAGATGGAAAGACTGAGAGGAGGTTAAGAAACTTGTAGGTTAATGGTCAAACAGGATATAGAACACAGATCTCCTAACTTTAAGCCCAATGTCCCCTCTTCCACCTTGCCACTTGGTCTAATTCCATTTATTGTCATAAGAAATCATAACTCGATATACTCCTAGGCTTATCTTGACAAACTCAGAATCCTATCTGGGACTTCCCTTCTTGGTGCTGCTACATACAGTTCAGGCAATTCAAGCAAATGTGGCTTCAGAGGCCTTGCAACTTTTCTGTTACCAGCAGGGTGTCCCAAAAGTCTTAGTGCAGATTAAGTTATTTAAAGCTTAAAACGGCACTAAGAAATTTGGGACATCCTATGTTTAGCTTAGAGCTGTGGTTTTCAAACTTTTTGGTCTCAGGACTTTCACTCTTAAAAATTATTGAGGACCCTAAGCTTTTGTTTATGTGGATCACATCTATGGATAGTTATCATATTAAAACTTAACTGAGAAATAAAAATATTTATTAATTCATTTAAATACTATAATAATAACCAGTAGATGTTAGTACATAATCCATTTTTTTTTTTTTTTTGAGACAGAGTCTCCCCCTGCTGCCCCGGCTAGGGGGCCCGGGCATCAGCCTAGCTCACAGCAACCTCAATCTCCTGGGCTCAAGCGATCCTACTGCCTCAGCCTCCCGAGTAGCTGGGACTACAGGCATGCGCCACCATGCCCGGCTAATTTTTTGTATATATATTTTTAGTTGGTCAATTAATTTATTTTCTATTTTTGGTAGAGACGGGGTCTCGCTCAGGCTGGTTTCGAACTCCTAACCTTGAGCAATCCGCCCGCCTCGGCCTCCCAAAGTGCTAGGATTATAGGCGTGAGCCACCACGCCCGGCCCCCATAATCCATTTTTAAAGAAAAATAATTATATTTTCAAAAACAAAACAAAAAAATTTAGTGTCATTCTCTTTAATGTCTGGCTTAATAGCAGCCAGCTAGAGTCTCATTTGTTCGTGCATTCACTTTGTTGTAATGTGATGTTTTGGTTGAAGGATATGAAGAAAATCTGGTCTCACAAAGGGAAGACCTGTGGACCCTCTAAAAAGGTCTGAGGGACCCTTTTAAGAACTGCTGGCTTATGGAATGGTGCCTATGACTGGCCTTTCCACAGCCTGCTGCAAATGCACATAAGTTTTTCTTCCCTACTTTTAGAACTTCTTTATTTTTTTTTCCAATGCAAAAACAGAAAGAAAGAAAAAGAAAGAGCTATCTACTATGTAAGGCAGCACAAGGCAGACTGTTAAAAATCTATGTTTTATTTTTTGGATCTTTCCTCTTCCAGCTGCCCCATAATTATAAGGTTCTTTCTAGTCTGAAGGAAGTAACTTTCCAATTTAGGTTTAAATAAGATTGTGAAACAGCCTCTCTGTTAAACAGAGTAGTTCTCTTAGCAAACCCACAACAATGGCTACAGATTACACCTGCTTTACACTGCATACCTGCTTTTTTAAACAGGGTACACAAAACATTTTGAACACAAAATATTTTAAACAGACAATTCTAAATAAATTTAAAACACTGTTTATAAAATATATATTTTTGTTTGAAACATACTGAAACTGGTTTCATAATATGCTTTTTGAAAATAAAGAGTTAAAATCTATTTATATAAAAATTAAGAACACTGATTTTTTTGAACACTGGGAACTACGAAAATACTATAGTTGAAAACTTCAGTGACTTTCTAGTAATTCAGCAGCATCTCAGGGTCCAAAAATTTAATCAATAGAGAAATAGCCTGTGTTCTTACCATCCACAAAATGGATCCAGACAACTGTTCAAACTGATGGGACCCACTCCATCGAGATTTCACTGTGGCTAGACCAAAATCACCTATTTTTACTGTGAGGTCTTCATGAAGAAATATATCTGAGGTGTAGTAAATAAAGGAAAACAATAGATCTCATTTTCCTATCAAGAGCAAGCATTATGAAGATTCTGGGTAAGAGATCTAATTTCTATAATTCTATAATATGATATTCTTTTAAAATAGTACTTTGTACTTTGTATTTCCTCTTAAATATGTTCCTCAATAAATATATTTTAAACAATAATTAGTTTTATTTAGCCTTTATGACCCGCTTTAAAGATTTTTGGGGGCTTGAAATGTACTAGGATGAGGTGAGATGCTTTCCTAAGTTTATGAGAGAAACTGAAACTTTCCCTTTAGATTTTAGCAATGTAGGCCCAGATATCCTCTTGGCACTGCTGGGCAAGCTGGAAAGGTCTTCATTGGAATGAAGATGCTGGAAGACAGGATCTTAGTCTGGGCTTAGGGAAGAAGAAAAAAAATTATGTTTTTCTCACCTCATTGTTATATAATTTAGAACCTTCAGTTATATTTCAACTACTACTGAGCAAGGTCAAAGGGCTGAAAGAGACTAGTAAATAGCTACAAAGTTAACAGTTTTGTAGTGTTGATAGAACCTACACAAACAATCAAAACAGTCCAATTAGTGTAAAGACTTTTGATAGATTTTTTCTGTAATGCTCTGTTATTCAGAAACCAAAAGCAGTCTATAGTATTTTGCTCTCCTATACTTGCATGCAAACTTCTTTATTAATTATCTTTACGGTATATTAAACTTAGCATGAAAACTGTTTTTACATAATGTGAAGACAAAATGCAGAAGAAAAAGTCAGGATGCTTTCAAACTTCGCAGACAAATTTCAGGAAGGATACTATTACTCTTGAGGTCTCTGTGGATGATTGACTTGGCGTGTAAGTAACTGAAAAACAAAACATCATTTTAACCTGAGTAGGGCTAAAGGACTGTGACCTCAAAATCTATAGAACATATTTAGGGGTATAAAGACTTATTTATTTAGAATCATGATACAATCAAAAATTGTACACTGTACATTGTGATAACCCCTTTACATAATATTAAATAGACTATAAATGAATTTAAGATTACAGGAACATTTACTGTTAAGGTACAGTCAAAATCTTGTTTTCTATTAAAAGACTTTGCTTTATTTTTTACTAGTTACCAATACAAACCTTTCACTCCAGTCATGCCTATTTATCCATGTCCTTTAAATATACCTTTACATTTAATTGCATCTCTGTGTTCAATGCTCCTCTACTATACCCATCTTCCCAATTAGCTTTCATTCTATTTTCCACTATTTATACCCTTCTTTTAAGACTGAACACAAATTCTAACTCCTGAGTGAAGCTTTCCCATGATCAATTCAATGGAAAGTGATCCTTCATTTTTCAACTTATATAGCGATTATCATAACAGTTTGATTCCTGTGGCCTTTTTCTTAATGTTTCTATGTTAGCGTCCTATTTAGAATGTAAACTCAACTAGAATATAAAAGTTTGATTGATAAATTAAAACTATTTTAAAAGGTAGTGTCTTAAAATACCTTCTTAAAGCTAGTGAGGAGCAAATTTCCTCTATAATGGCCACAGTGGGTCTATTTTAAAGTCAATGAATGATAAGTTTAAATAATCTGTTATCCCTAAAAACTGCTTTAGTTGCATTCAGTGAAGGAAACAGCTGTGTCTATTTTACTTCTGTTTTTCCCAGTGCCTAGTATAGTGCCTGGCCGGCGTGGTAAGTGTTCAATACATGTCTGCTGAATCAACTACAATGGGATGCATATAAGGTCCTAGTCAAGGTTATTTTTATTCATTTAATACTGGAGAGAAGAGATTTATGTATAACACTTCTGATACCTGACAATGACCATTAGGAAGTAAGTTTTGCCTTACAATGAGGATTTAAAATCCAAATGGTATATTCAAAGTTATGTAATGTAATATCCAAAATTATGTAATGAAAACTGTTAACAATGGAAGATTTGTAAATAATTGAGATTATTCACAATATCTCATCTTCATTTAAACTTCCTCATTCTCCCCAACATCTTGATTTTAAAATTATATTTTTAGTCAAAATTTTCATTTCAAATTACTATTTATCCAAAGTAATCCCTTATCCTCCAATTACTCTCTCATAGTATACTGTTAATTTCCTTCACAACATTTACTACAATTGAAAATTATCTTGCTGTCATGACTTTAGGCCCAGTGTTCTACATCGTACTATCACTCTTCCATTGAAAGAAAATGTGATGTCAGTCATAGGTCTCATCTGCTTAAAAAGTTCTGCAGTGACACAGAAAGGTAAAAACATGTGGAGATAAATAGGTCCCAATCGAAAGTTTTTCCAAGATGGGGAGACAATGTCTCTGTTAGAAAGAAAGGGGAATAAAGATGGTGGTGTTGATGGAGCTATGTCTTGCAATCAGTGAGACCTGGGATCTAGTGCACAGCTAAAGGTGTTGGCCTTTGAAAAGAGGTTTTCGCCTATGAGATTTTTAAAAAGACAACTAACGTAATGGGTTTCAACCATATGAAAATATGGAGACATGTTAAAATTAAAAGAAGGAAAGATAAAAGTGTTTTCTCGATGAATAGTGTCAATCCTTTCAACAAACTCAATGCAAAGAAGTTTAGCAAGAATCAAGTAGATAGAAATGTTGCTGGAGGGGTAAAGAGGGAAACTTTCTGACCAGGAATGTATTAAATAATTAATAAGACATAAATGTGAATGCTGAGCTAGTGATCTAACCAGAGTAGAAGTTGGATAGCATAAATCCATTACAAGCCAAGTTGCAATAGCTGCAACTTGAAATATACCACCTTATATTTGTGTCATCTTTTATAATTTATAATCTGCTTTCCCAATTTGTATCTCATTTACTTATTCTCTATTTCTATAACCAAAGCAGCAAAGAGTAACTGCTACCCTAAAAATTCTATATAGGTTGACACTGAAACGTAATTTCCAAAGCACCAACCAGTACCAAAATGGAAGTTGCCAAAACAACACATAACTAATTGAGGGTAGGGAACAGAACAAGAATAAATCAACTTTACTTTGCTATAAATGATACAGAAGTCTATCCATTATTTAGGATAATTAGATTGGACCTCCCTTTTACCTTTTTAAGATATTAAGGAGAACATTACAGGTTTACAAAAGTACTAGGAAAGAACAAACATCCTATCAACCAAATGAATATTACATTCTCTGGACAGGCTACTCTTAGGAGTCTCTTTCCTTGAAGAAAAAGTGTCCACCTACAGAATCACTTAATCTTTTTTTTTTTAATTTTATTTTAATGATATTTTTAAATCATTTCCTTGGAGCACACAATGAGAATATATTTGCTGGGGAATGAAAAAGAATACAACATCAATTCAGTGCACAAAACTACTCTAAAACCTAAGGATCTATTCTCACATTTTTCATTAATTCCAGGATGATAACTTTCAACATTAAACTTGGTGCTTCATCCAACTTGACTTTCCTAGAAGCACACAAACAAATTAAAATTTCTTTGGGGTTGCCAAGAAGTCTTTCAAATATGGGATACCAACCTTGGTTTCAAGTCATTTTTTGCTGCCCCAACAGAATCACTTAATCTTGAAGCTGCAAAATTATCTGGCAAAATTTGTTCTCTACTTCTTTCAAGCTCTTATCCAAGATTCAGTTTTTCAACATTCTTTTAGAGCATAATATAATGCTCCAAACTAAATACTTCAGATTTGGTCTGATTAATAACAAACTAGAGTGAGATTCTCATCTTCATCTTCCTGTGGTGGGCATAAAAAACTTATTAAATCAGACATTATTGTGATTATTATGGCAGCCATAGTCACTCTACTGACTCCTATTAAGATTATATTCACTTACAACCCTAGAATAATCCTTCTCGAACTGCTCCTATAAAACAATTTCCCTATTCTACATTTATTTGTATACTTCTCTCTTTTGGATTTGGATATGATTTTTGTATTTTGTAGACATGGCTTATAATTTCAGCTTATTAATATTTTAACGTTCACTAAAAATAGGTTTTTAAAAATCAGCATGTTAATGATGCCCTTATATAAGTTACTTCTAAATATACTTGTCATATTCAAGAGAAGACTGAGGACAGAAATCTCCTTCTGGTGTGCTATCTTCAGGTATGATCATTTATCCAGTATGACCGGTTAAATCCTGACATTCACGGTGCGTCTCTCAATCTTATCCTTATGAATACCATGAGGGCTATCATTCAAATGCCTTGCTGATATTATGGCTACACCAACTGGCTAATTTATCAGTCTAGTCTATTTGTCAAAGCCCCTAGTATCTCTCACTTAAATTTACTATTTTCTTGTTTTTTTAACTATTTCTAAAAACCACAGAATTGGCCTACTTAGACAACTGCATTCCACAATTTCACAAAAGTTCATCAGACTTCAGGCACCAACTTGAATCTTTCCTCAGACACCCTAGCCACTCATGGAGCCTACTGGATGGGCAGTCAAGACAGTGATGATACAGTGTCAAATTATAGTTTCTCTTCTACTTTGATGCCCCTCTGCTCCCTTCATAATCACAACGTGGATAGTAAACAGGATCAATGAGAATGACATCTTGCTACATATCTGTAGCCAGTAATTATTTACCACTTTAAAAATAATTAAAATCACTAATAAGTAGAGTTCATGTATTTTTTTTTTTTTTGAGACAGAGTCTCTGTTGCCTGGCGATAGAATAATCTGGTGTCAGCCTAGCCTCACAGCAACTCAAGACTCCTGGGCTCAAGCAACTTCTGCGCTCAAGCCTCCTGAGTAGCTGGACTACAGGCATGTGCCACCATGCCCGGCAATTTTTCTATATTTTAGATGGCCAATTAATTCTTTCTAATTTTCAGTAGAGATGGGTCTCGCTCTGCTCAGGCTGGCTCGGACTCCTGAGCTCAAGCAATCCTCCGGCCTCGGCCTCCCAGAGTGCTACGATTACAAGCAGGAACCACCAAGCCAGACCCAAGTTCACATATTTTTAAGTTGTGCTCCATGGTAGCCTAAATTCCATTTTTACTCTCATTAGTTTCTTTCACTTTTTTTTTTTTTTTTTTGAGACAGAGTCTCGCTTTCTTGCCCAGGCTAGAGTGAGTGCCGTGGCGTCAGCCTCGCTCACAGCAACCTCAGACTCCTGGGCTCAAGCAATCCTGCTGCCTCAGCCTCCAGAGCCTGGGACTACAGGCACGAGCCACCATGCCGGCTGATTTTTTTATATTATATAAATAGTTGGCAATTAATTTCTTTCTATTTTATGTAAGACGGGGTCTCGGCTCAGCGCCTGTTTTGAACTCCTGACCTTGAGCAATCCGCCCGCCTCGGCCTCCCAGAGTGCTAGGATTACAGGTGTGAGCCACCGCGCCCGGCCCAGTTTCTTTCACTTTTTAAAAAATCGAATTTGTTGAGTTATAATTTATATCCAACACAAAATTCACCCATTTTAAATGTACAGTTTAAAAAGTTTCAACAAATATATACATTTGTGTAATGACCAGCTACAATCAAGATAAAGAATACCCATCACCCCTAAAAAGTTTCCTCATACATTTTTGTAATTAATAACACTCTTTAGGTTCAGGCAACAATTGATAATGATTTTTCACTACAGATTAGTTTTGCCTGTTCTTGAAGTTCATATCAAGGAATCATACAGCTTATTTTGTTCAGCACAATAATTCTGAGATTCACATGTTTGTTGAAGGTACTGTTACAAGGTATGGATATATCACAACTTATCCATTTATTTGTTGGACATTTGGTTTGTTCCCAGTTTGTGGCAATTATGAATAGGATACCATAAATATTCATGTGCAAGTCTTTGTTGTTGACTCATGTTTTCTTTTTTTTTTTGAGA